CTCTGGGCTTGACTTACTCTTCTTTTTCTAGAAGTTTGAAGTTTAACATTAAGTTGTTTATTTGCACTTGCTCTCTTTTCCTGATATAGGTATTCACTGTTACATATTTTCCTCATAAGACTGCTTCCCTTGTGCCCCATAGGTGCTGGTGTGTTGTATTATCACTATTGTTTAATTGTAGAAACACTCTGATTTCTTCTTTAATTTCATTTGTGAACCATCGGTTGTTCAGGAAGGTGTTACTTAATTTGCATGTTTATGAAGTTCACTTTGGGTGACATCACAGTCATGTTCCCTGCACAAACACGAACATGGCCATCTTCCCCAGAATCATGAAACGAATTAAGTTTGTGAACCAAGTTACCACTGTATATCTATTAAGTCCAAATGTTCAAGGGTGTGATTCAGCTCTGATATTTCTCTATTGGTTTTTTTGTTTAGTTCACCTGTCTCTTCTTTGCAAAAGTGAGGTGTTAAAATCCCCTATGATGATTGTGTTAGTATTTAGTTGATCTTTTAATTTTAGCAGTTTTTGTTTTATAAAGGTAGGTGTTCTAGTATTTGGTGCATGTATGTTTATCAGTGTTTCCTCTTCTTGGATTGTTCCTTTAACTAGTATGTAGAGACATTCTTTGTCTTTTCTAATCAGTTTTAGCTTAATGTTTACCATCTCTGATATCAGAATTGCCAACCCTGCTTGTTTTGGGGGTCCTGGTGCATGAAATGTTGTTTTCTGTCTTTTAATTTTTAGTCTGTGAATATCTTTTTGGGTTAAGTTTCTTGAGTGCAACAAACTGTTGGATTATGCTTTTTCTAGAGCCTCATTCAATTGCTTTGTTGTTACCGCTTCAGAGAGGCCAGGTGGGTGGCTTTCAGATTGTCCTACCTCAATGCTCCCTGGGCTTGCCTTGGTGAACTGGATGTCTGGGGCTGCATCTTGTTTAAGTGTCTTCTCATTTTCTTTTCCTTTTTTAGTTTAATTCCTGGGGTGATGCTTGTCAATTGCCTATGGTGGGTTGCTTTATTGCTAGTATTTAGAATCCTTAGGAAATGACTGCTTCTTCAAAGTGTCTTGCAGGTGTAGCTGGCTTTTAGATTCTGAGTCTGTTTCAAGATCCTGTCTCTTCAATTTGTTGGGGAGGAGAAGTTGCTACCTGTTTGGCCCAGTCCCTGGTTGTCTGGCACTGTGCCACAGTATTTTCTGGGTTGGAAGTTATTTGCTCTTAGGGCTTGAAATATTTCACTCCAAGCTCTTCAGGCCTTTAGGGTTTGTGTTGAGAACTCCATTGTGATTCTAATTGGTTTAATTTTATATGTGATTGTTTTTCTCTGGCTGCTTTTAAAATTCTGCTTTTTGGAGCCTGTTGTGACACATGCCTGTAATCTCAGCACTTGGAAGGTTAAGGTGGGAGGATCACTGTGAGTTCAAGGCCAGCCTGAATGCATTTGTGATTCCCAAGTAACTTCTTTGCCAAAGATTCTGAGTGTTTACATCCTGGAACTCCTCTGACCCTTCTACCACAGTACTGAAGCTAGTCAGACTCAGGACTTCTTTCCGCCAGCCTGCAATATTCTTGCAGAGTCTGATCCGGTTAAAGTTCTTCAGTAAGGGATTCTTTTTTTTGCACCAGGAATCGAACTTAGGACGTTGCGCTTGCCAGGCAGGCGCTTGTGCTGCTGAGCTATATGCCCGGCATCAGTAAGGGATTCTTGATGTCCCTCTCCCTTTGTGTGATGGTGGACTCAGTCGACAGATTCACTGGCATGAAATTGTCCACTGAGTTAGGGTTATTCCTATGTAATCAAATCAGCCATAGTTGTAAGAGGCTAATCTGTTACACTGGTGTCTATCAGGGTTAGTTGAGAGATAACATACCATGAGACCCTGTTGTGGATCTCCTTTCACACTAGAGAAGAAAGCCAGAGTTATATTGAAGGCATCATAACAACCGAAGTCTAAATGCAACAGCTGTCTTTTTTTGGTGGGGAGGAGTACTGGGAATCAAACTCAGGACTTTGCACTTGTCAGGAGGCAGGTGCTGTGCCATTGAGCTATATCTCTGGCCCCACTATCTTTTTTCATAGCAAAACCTCCCAGCATTCAACAATGATTTTACAGAATTATTTGAAGCCTAGGAGTAATGTCAGAAAGGGGAAGAGAAGAGACAAAAGAAAAAAAAAATTTGTTTTGAACCTCTGCTTTGTGATATGGGAAGGATGACATGGGGGGGTGGCAAAGGATCCTAATGATGGTAAAGGTATGTTAATATGTTTAGATGGGGATGGCAGGGGAAACTGGGCACAAAGTTGGTAGTAAGAAATGGGGATGGCACTGGGTGTGGTGGTGCACGCCTGTAATCCCAGCACTTGGGAGGCTGAGGCAGGAGGATTGTTTGCGAGTTCGAGGCCAGCCTGGGCTACAAAGTGAGCTCAAGGTCAGCCTGAACTGCAGAGCGAGACACTGTCTCAAAAAAGACAAAGAAAAAAAAAAAAAAAAAAAAAAGAAGATATGGGGATGGCACTGCATAGAGAGCCCAAGCTGACCTTGTGGCGGTCTGGAGAAGTCCACATTTGTAATCGCAGGGAAGTTATTGGAATTCCAATAAGTATTTCCAATCTGCCACTTCCAGTGCAACCCAGGTGAGAATAAAGAGACCAATACACATCTGTAGTTGTGGGGAGCCCAGGGGCTCCTAAGTCCAGTTAGAACAATAGGTAACAGGAACAAAGGACCCCAGGCCAAACACAATTTCTGTAATTCATGCAGAGAGGAGTGGCTCCAGAAGGTATGAGGGACTGTGAGCTGGGCTCGGTAGAAGGCATAATACACCTCTGCATCATGCAGACGGAGGTATGCAGAAAGAGTAATCTGCATAGCACAGTTGAGGAAGTATCTTGTGTTTTGGGGTCCCTGCTTCAGCTTTGATGTCCGGCGTTCATGCTCTGAGTTCTTTCTTGAGCTTCAGTCTCAGCAGACAGGGTGGTGTCACTTGGCCTAGCTCGGGCATGTGAGTTGGAAGCTGTAAGCGGGGCATCACTGACTGTCACATTATTTTAAATGCTAAGCATCAGTACCTCAGCTGGACCCATTTGCACTGCTTAAAGCCAACTGAGGGAGTAAAGAAATATCCTACTCAGCTCTGTGTGTACCAATACACAGAATTAGTGCCAGGTTTAGTGAAAATGGAGACAAATGCTATTCTTTCAAGGAGAGCTATCCCTGTGATCCTCCACAGGACAATACTCTATGACTGATGTGAATATTAGGGAAAAAACTCATGGGAGACAAATGAAAAGGAAGAGAGGAAACAAAAGAAAATTTGAGACAGAATAAGAAACAAGAGAACAAGCTGGGTGTTGTGGTGCGCGTATAATCCCAGCACTCGGGAGGCTGAGGCAGGAGGATCTTCGAGTTCGAGGCCAGCCTGGGCTACTAAGTGAGCTCAAAGCCAGCCTGAATTGCATAGTGAGACCCTGCCTCAAAAAGACCAAAAAAAAAAAAAGGAAAAGTAGGAGGGATATAAGGGACAACAGAGAATTCTCTTGCCTTCCATAAACTATATTGGAAGAAAAAGGTAAGAGGAAGAGAAGCACATGCAGAAACAGACATGCTCATAAAAGAAAAAAGGGGAAAGTAATGAAATAAAATTGAGGAGAAAATGAATACGAGGAGGAAAACTGAAAAAAAAAAATTAAAAAAATAAAGAATTATTCAATAAAATAAAAAATAATAATAAGTTTTCTATTGTTCTAGGCACCCTTTTCCTCAGCCTAGGATAAGGAACAGAGTTCAAGCCAGGCCTTATCTCTGTTCAGGCCTGAAGTCTGAGGTGGTAGCCCACCGCCAGAACGGTGCTGGGTGCAGACCTCCGTGTCTGGTGTGCACCAGCGGCGGGCTGCACTTCCAGGCCTGTGTAACTCAGGCTCAGCCTGGCCTCTGACCACAGGAGCCAGGCTGTGTTCACTAGCCTCAGCCCCTCACTGGGATTCCTGCAGCCTGCTCTCCAACCCGCGGCTGTCCCTCACCTGTCCCTCACCCATCTACCGGGGGCCCCATCCACTTAGGGACTGTGTGGAACATCAACTGTGGCCGCGGGCACTGTGCCGCGGGCACTCACCCATTGTCGACTGCAAGTCCACTCTGGAAGCAGTCTCCTGCATTTTTCTCGCAGGTTCCAACTGCTGCTGTCTCAGTCCCAATGTGGTTTTCTGGCTCAGTGAGCGGAAGTTTGTAGTTTCACTTTGTCTCCCAGCTAGCGAATGGCCAGCTGCTGTCCGGCAGCGAGGTTTGCAAGGTTCCCCTCTCTCCTTTATTTCTTCTGTATCAATTAGACCCCTCCCCTCATTTGTCAAGTCCCTCCTGGTCTGGAGTAACCGCCTCTAACTTCGCTGGCTCCCTAAACTACTGTCAGACTCCAGACACTTTGTCCTGGAGAAGCTGTGTTACGGGCACTCACTGCTCCGTCATTTTCCCTAAACTTACACCTTTTAAATTTTGAGACAGGGACCTGGCTGAATTGCCCAGGCAGTGTTTGAAATTGTGATTCTTTTGTCTCAGCTTTCTGGAGTGCTGGAATTATAGGCCTGTTTTATCATGCCCAGATCAATTTAAAAATTAAAAAAAATTTTTATTAGTACCTGTTTGCATTACATAATGATCACATTCACCATGAGTTCACACATGTATGTAGCACATCTTAATTCTTTTTGCTTTTTAAATTTAAATAATGACGCTTACTGCTATGGAATCTTACCAGATTAGGTGTTATATTTATATGTATGTATGTGTGTATGTATTTGAGACAGGGTATCATTGTAGTTGAGGCTGGCATTGAACTTGATATGTAGCCCAGGCTGACCTCAAAGTCTTGGTTCCCCTGTCTTAGCCTCCCAAGTGCTGGGATGTCAGGTGTATGCCACCATACTGAGCTCACACTACGCTTTAAAACTAGTGTATAGATAAAAGATTAATTGTTCTTTTTTTCTTTCTCTAATTTCAGTAGTGCTGAAAAGATTGGTGGTGAAAATAATGTTGAAGAATCCTGTACATCATCCTCTTCTGTTTCCCAGCAGAGAAGGCGACTATCAAGTACTTCCAGCCTGGCTAAACCTAGTGTCAGTGTTCCTCCACAGTCTCCTCCCTCATCTACAGTTAATCAGGGTGTTCCACAGCCAAAACCCGTTCCAACAAAAGAGAAACAGCCATGCTCAGACAGATACCGAATATACAAAGCCCAGAAATTACGGGAAATGTTAAAAGAAGAATTGAGAAAAGAGAAGGTAAGGGAGAAAAATCACAATTTTCATGTTACCTTCTAAATTTCTGTTTGTTTATTTATTTATTTGAGTCAGTGTCTCACTATGTAGTCCACACTAGCTTATGTGACGCAGCCCGGCTGCAGCAGGTGCAGGAGAGTCCTGCAGGAGGGAAGGACAGGGGCGAAGAGACAAACAGCGCAGACACCAGAGGTCCTTTTGGTGGGCCAGGGGAGCAAGGCTCCTCCAACACAGAGAAATGTTTTTTGCTTTATTATATACTTTGCAATTACATATGAGACTCTTAGATACAATGAGGTTTCTATTTTAGTTACAGATTCAGACATGGTTGACACACTGGCCTCAACCCTAGCAGGAAATCAACTTTTCTAAAGCACATAAAAGGAGGCAAAAAGATCAATTACTAAGTGTTCTTGATTAGGTATAATTTTTCACAGAATTGTTCACTTGTATACTGCACAGCAGGACCCACATTTACAATATCTCCATCTAGAGCCAGTCCAGCACACACAGGGCGTTCGCCTAATGTTTTCCCACGCACTGAGGCTGGCGCAGCGCTCCCCTCCCGTTCCAGTGTGCGAACACCACCACACAGGAGTTAGAGGACTGACGCAAATCTCTGTGGTGGCTTTTACTTCCCCTTTCAACCCTAGAGGGGTGCCTTTCATCCTGGACTCTCATTCCTTAACTACTTCCAGTTCTGATCCTTCAGGTTCCTAACCATCCTTTATCAGTAGCACAATGAATATTTGGAAAGCTGTGATTAATAGAGAGTAGAGAGAGAGGCCGCACACCCGTCCCATGCAGTCCCTGCTTTGCAGGCATCTGCTATCAGTCCTGACTTTGTCAAGAAACTGACATTGGATGGTCTCCTGCACTTATGTAGTTCAGGTTGGCCTCAAACTTATGGTAATCCTTTTGTCTCAGCCTCCCGAGTGCTGGGGTTATAGATGTGCACCACCACGCCTGGCTAGATTTCTGTTCTTAGTTTAGTGTGGTGTCATTTGAGAGAAAAATAAACACTGGTAGCCTTTGGTGAGGAACAAACCAAGTAACATCTGGTTTTGGTGGTACTGGAGATTAAACCCAGGCCTTCATACTGAGCAATGTGCTTGGCTCTTTTTTAAACTTTTAATTTTTGAGACAGAGTCTTGTTATGTCACTGTGTTGCCCAGATTGGGGTCAGACTTTCGATTCATTTTCCATGGTGGTCTAGGGTTAGGATTCGGTGCTTGCGAACTTTGAGTTGTCCTGCCTTAGTCTCAGTGCTGGGGTTACAGGTGTGGGATACTGTGCCTGGGTCTGTGTGACAACTCTTCTGCTAAGAGAATATCTGTTTTTGTTAATAGAATGGCTGACAAGTGTGAGTGGACTGCAGAAACTTACTTCTTTTTTTGTTGTTTTTTTTTTTTTTTTCCGGTACCAGGAATTGAACTCATGACCTTGCGTTTGCCAGGCTGGTGCTGTGCCGCTGAGCTAAATCCCCAGTCCCAAGAAACTTACTTCTTTTAACGTAGTAATTTTTACATGTTTGATTCATTCATAGTTTTTAGTTTTTGATAAAGACAACAAGTAAAAAATTTCCTAAACATGCACATAGATACATAAAAATATTTATAAAATAAACATTCAGTCAGATTTTTCCTTTGAAGATGTCCAAGTGACACATGGTATATTTATTTGAATTAAAACAAGTATAGTTGGACAGTATAAGTTGTAATTTTTTTTTTTTTTTTTTTCCGGTACTGGGGATTGAACTCACGACCTTGCGCTTGCGGGCAGGCGCTGTGCCACTGAGCTAAATGCCCAGCCCTTTTTTTTTTTTTTTTTTTTGGTACCGGAAATTGAACTCAGGACCTTGCACTTGCCAGGCAGGTGCTTGTGCCGCTGAGCTATATCCCCAGCCTGGTAATGTTTTCTAAAAGGATGATATGGAAAATTATGAATGGAAAAAATTTGTGCAATGCATGTACCAGTCTGTGTTCTTTTTATTTTTTGTTTTTTTATTATTTTTTTTTAAAACGGTCTCACTGTGCAGTTCAGGCTGGCCTTGAGCTCACTTTGTATCCCAGGCTGGCCTCAAACTTGCAATGATCCTCCTGCCTCAGCCTCTTGAATGCTGGGATTACAGGCGTGTGCCACCATGCTATGTTCTTTTTAATCTTTTTTTCTTTTTTCTTTTTTTGTTTTTTTCCGGTACTGGGAACTGAACTCATGACCTTGCGCTTGCCAGGCAGGCGCTGTGCCGCTGAGCTAAATCCCCGGCCCCTGTTCTTTTTAATCTTGACAGAAATTTTTTTTTTCAAGGACAGTAGTGAAGCATGTTTGCTCTAGAATTACTTACTTAAACTTTGAATCTTTATTTTTAAAATCTTTATTTGTTTTGAAGCAGTGTCTTGCTTTGTAGATGAGATGGGTCTTGAACTCATTGTGTAGTCCAGGATGGCCTCAGATCTGTGATGATTCTCCTGCTTTAGCCTCCTCAGTGCTGGAATTACAGGCATGTGCCCCCACATCTGGCTGGTTTTTTTTGAGTTAGGATTACGGTGTGTCATTCATGCTGACCTTGATCTTAGAATGATCCTTCTGTCTTAGTCTCCTGAGTGCTGGGAGTATAGGCATTTGTTACAATACACAGTTTAAAGTTTGAATCTTAACTTTATCCCTTACTAGTTATATGACATTGAGCAGTTTTAAGAAATTTTTTTTGGTGTATTTTTTCATTTGTAAAATAGAACCAATAAGAGTATCTAGAAGTGAAACACATTTGAAGTAATGTCTAAAAAATGGTAAGTATCCCAAAAAATGTGAGCTCTTATCACTAATTATAGAGTGAGTGGTGTCTCCCCCCCCCCACCTTGGACCTGCAGATCAAACCCAGGGGCCTCATATGTACTAGGCGAATGCTCTGTCTCTGAGCTGTACTTCTACTCCAGTAAGCAGGATTTGATACATGCTTTTATCCAATTCTAGCCACTTTATTTTTTAAAACTAAAGACTATTAAAGATAATGTACTGCGACTTTTTTTTTTTTTTTGGTCTTTTTGAGACAGGGTCTCGCTATGCAGTTCAGGCTGGCCTTGAGCTCATTTTGTACCCCAGGCTGGTCTCAAACTTGCAATGATCCTCCTGCCTCTGCCTCCTGAGTGCTGGGATTGCAGGCGTGTGCCACCACGCCCGGCTACTACAGTGTTTTAACGTTGAATTTACATTTTTTTTCCCTAAAATGAGACACAAGTGGAGTAGGACTGCTATTAAAGCACTGGTGACAAATGCAGCAGTGGACTGTACATTTACATGTAGTATACCTGAAATTCTATGTTTATAAAAGTAGATCTCTGTGTTCTTATGTGTATAGAAACAGTGGAAAAACAAATATGCCATAAATGAAAGCCAGATGCCTCCTGATCGTTCAAAAATGACCATGAGAGACTTCATATATTACCTACCAGATAGCAATCCAATGTCGTAAGTCATACTTATTTCTCTTTAGTTTATTTGGTGTGCAATGATTTAAATATCATTTCTAGCATACAGTTTAATGTTTTCCAAAAGCATGTATGTTGACAGAATTAGTTCTTTCAGATGAAAGAACAAATCTGTTGTTCTTTTAGATGACATGTGTAACAAAAGTTTTTGATCTTATTTTTTTGTTGGTGCTGGGGTTCGTACACAGGGTGTTTCTTGTGTGTGTACTCTGCTGCTGAGAGTGCACTCCTGCTGTTATGGTGCAAGTTCTGTAGTTGCTTTCTGGGGATGGTAAATACGTGCCCTTTATTGCTGAGATTAAACATAAGTTCCTCTGTTACATTAATTATGAGGATATAGGAAAACCATCTAATCAACTTCTGTATTGTAATTTCTGTCTCTTCTATACTAGAACTTGATTTAAAAGTGAGCTTATTTTTATGCTGGACCTTGTACTATAATACAGTGACAGTTTGATGAACACATTCTGGAAGAGCAAAGCTCTAATCAGAGTTAGTCTGAGCTGGTGTCAGGCAGAAGGCTTATAATTCCCTTCTTCAGCATTGTGTTGTTTATGGGTTAGCAAGTAGAGGTAGCATAGTTTTCAATATAGGCCTTTTTTGGGTTTACCCAGTCTTTTACCCAGGTAAAGGAAGGGCCAGAAACCAAGGTTTTGAGCTGTTTGAAATCTAGACGTTGGAAACAAGCCACTTAGGCCACTTCATGCGTCCAAGAGTGCCTCGTTACTAAGGAATTAGAGACTGAAAAATTCTCCCTCCTTTCCCTTCTCTTTCTCATACCTCCCTTCCTCCTTCTGCTTTTCTTTCTTTTTCTCTCTTCCCCATGTTTCTTCTTTTTCAGGTGGATATTGATTGAGCCCAGGGTATATTATTCATGCTAAGAATACACGGTGCTAATTCCTCAGCCATGACTGAAAAGGTTTTTTTTTTTTTTTTTTTTTTGGTACCGGGGAATTGAACTCTGGACCTTGCATTTGCCAGGCAGGCAGTTGTGCTGCTGAGCTACATCCCTGGCCTGAAAAATTGGTTTTTGGATTGCATCATTATTTAAGCTCAATGGAAAAAATAAACACATGTACACACACATTGAAGATAGGATAATTTCCTTCTTGCTTAGAGATAGAATGAATAAGATATAAGTGAATATTTATTAAAAAGTATTTTGTTATTTCTGTTTAATAGTTCTTCACTGGAACAAGAAAAGAAAACTGAAAAATTATTGGCTCCAGTCCAGACAAGAGAGTAAGCATCTCATCTTATTCTTTTTTGAAAATATTGTATCATGCATACGTTTTTTTCCCTTGTTGCTGGGGATCAAACTTGTTCTTGCTCATGATAGGCAAGCTCTCTATCACTGTACTACAGCCCTAGTCCGATTATGGGCATGTTTTTAAAAAAATGATACCCGGTGGTGTTTCCTATTGTAGTTAGATTACATTTGATTGAACTTTAAAAATAGACTCATTTATGAATTAAAGTTACTGCTTTATTTAAAGCAACGTGATGGCTAGGCATGGTGGTGCATGCCTATAATCCCAGCACTTGGGAGGCTGAGGCAGAAGGATCACCACGAATTTGAGGCCAGCCTGGGCAACATTGTGAGTCAAGGCCAGCCTGAATTGCATAGTGAGACCCTGTCTCAAAAAAAAAACAACAACAACATGAACACCTCACACTGTTCCTGCAATACATAATTGAGCAAAGTTACGATTTTAAATTAGTTTTGAATGAAGAAGTTTTTGTTTTGTTTTAGGAATATAATATATTTACATGTCCAAAATGGAAGAGGAACAAAATGAATGCTGCAAATTTTTTTGTGTTTGTTTTTCTGCCATCTGGAGGCAGCAAAAATACAGCATTCCAATTCTTTTCTGTATAAATATCCAAGCAAATGTGTATTTTTACTTTGTTTCAGACATTAAAGTTAGCAGGCTACATGTACTGTCCTCCCATAGGTTTAGTCTTGATGCCATTAGATGTGGTCTTAGTTTTTATACAAGCTCCTGTATGCCTTCGGCATCCCATCCTAAGTTAGCTTACTCTCAGTAAATCCCATCACGAGACCTCCTGGGCGGTTACTGCAGCCTTGTACTGTATTTCAAAGTGAGGATTGTGGAAGCCTAGAGAAACATTAGAGGGGGTGATCTTTGGGCTGTCCCTTCAGAGGCCAAGTAATTCTTACCATTTTCCCAGGATCCATATTCTCTTTGAAAGCAAAACTCTGAATTTTAAAGATAGGTTATAATTCTCAGGTTTATACTTATATTTGCTTCAGTAAAAGTGCAGACTGCCAGGCATGGTGGTGCACATCTGTAATCCCAGTACTCAGGAGGCTAAGGAAGAGTCACAGGTATGAGGCTGGCCTGTGCTGCATAGGCTGGCCTAGACCTGTCTTAAAAAACCATCCCCCGCAAAAAGCCAAAGCATACAGCATAGTAGAGTAGAAAATATATTGGATTTGGAATCAGGTTTTAAAAAACCAAAATACAGTAAGGAGCAAGAATTCCTGGTGTGGTATTGTACAGTACAATAACTAGATAGAAATTATGTGCTGTCTTTTTTTTTTTTTTTTTTTGGTACTGGGAATTGAACTCATGACCTTGCGCTTACCAGGCAGGCACTGTGCCACGGAGCTATATCCTGGCTGTACTGTCTATTTTTAAAAAAACTAGAAGAAAGATTTTTTTTTTTTTTTTTTTTTTGGTTTTTCTCCGGTACTGGGAACCGAACTCACAACCTTGCGCTTGCCAGGCAGGCGCTTTGCCGCTGAGCTAAATCCCCAGCCCTTAGAAGAAAGATTTTTAATGTTTTCACAATAAAGCAGTGATAAATGTTTGAGGGGATAGATATGTTTAACTTTATTTATTTATTTATTTTTTCCCAGATACCAAGAATCGAACTCACGATCTTGTGCTTGCCAGGCAGGGGCTGTGCTGCTGAGCTAAATCCCCAGCCCCTGTTTAACTTGATTTAAATGATAAATGTTTGAGGGGATAGATATGTTTAACTTGATTTAACTAAACGTTACACGATGTATACATGTATCAGAACCACAGTATTCCATTAGTATGTATCATTTTCATGTTTTCTGAATCAGTTAAAAATAAAGCTAACACAAGTATACAAATATCCTTCTTTAAGAGAAAAAAAAAACAGTTGTCTTTGGCTTTTTACCCTGCTACTGTGTATCTAGAGGAAAAGTTACTCATCTTCTCTAAGGCTTGGATGAGTTAGGAACATTCTAACTCAGAAGGGTTGCTCTTAAGAGTTAATAAAGTGATCTGGAAACCATTGCTAGGTAAATATAAGGTTTATTACTGCTAATTCCATAAGACTTGGATGATTTACTTTGACAGTATATTGAGATAGGAAAGATGAACATTTATTTCTGTTTTATTTTATTTACCTTTCCTGGTGCTGGGGATCAAACCCAAGGCCGTGTACATACCAGGCAAGAGCTCTACTCCTGAGTTACAACTCCAGCCCCATCTCTTTAAAAGAGTAGAAGTTTCTTTCTAAGTGCTATGAGATACAATTTGAGAAGATCGTAGAGATGTCTCCTCAACAACACAGTATTTTCAGTTAGGTTACAGGGAAAGTTGGAACTAGCTGAAGGTTTAATTTGTGATTATTTATTTTAAAAGTTTATACTATGCAGGAAACTTCTTTGTGTATGTGTGCTGTGTATCGGTGTCAGGAAGAAGAGAAAGGTGGGTGGGTTAATATTCTAAATTAAAAGTTACTTAAGAGATGTACTGGTGTAATGCAGCGTGAGAGTTTTTTTTTTAAATTGCTGTTTTTGGTGTCGGGCATAGAACCTGGGGCCTTATGCAGCCGAAGCATACACGGTACCACTGAGCTACACCCGCAGCCCCTAGAAACACTGCTCATACCTGTGTAGATTAACTTACTGTATATTCAGCAGGCACGAAAGTCAGAGTGCTCTTGATGCGGAAGACAATGAAGCAGTGGAAGAGGAGACGGATGATGGGCCGTTGCTGGTTCCGAGAGTGAAAGTGGCCGAGGATGGTTCCATTATTTTGGATGAGGAGAGGTAAAACAGAGGCAGAGACAGTGAAATAGGTTGTGGCTTTGTGAGAGTAACATACCTGGTCTAAGGGGGTCGTGCTTCTGACCTTGTCATCGTCGCTTAGACCCCATTGCATATATTTGCATCATGAATGCTGTCAACAGAAAAGTGGGTTAGATTAATCTGTGATTTTTAGCGATTTTTATGTGTTGTGTATGAAAAGATGAGACTGCTGTCATGTCATCCATTAACCTAACAACATTGTTTAACTGATAACTGAGTCACACTGCTGAACTGATCACATGCTGTTTTGCCCTGAGGATTTCCAGGATGGACTCAAGTCTTGAAGTCAGTGTTCAGCTTTTCATGTTAAGTAATTCCATCTTCTTGTGTCTGGTGAGAACTAATGGAGCATAGGCTTAACATATTTCATGATTTTTGTTATGGTGAAGTTTAATTTACCTTTAGCTTAATCTGTAAGTTATAACGTTAAATTCCTTATATTTGGCATTGTGGAATGTAGTTGTCTTTCTAAAGTATATTTTTTTAAAAAACAAGGGAATTAATACGAAATAAAGTGGAATGAGCTGGATGTGGTGGTGCATACTTGTAATCCCAAGACTCAGGAGGCTGAGGCAGGAGGATTGCCATGAGTTTGAGGCCAGTCTGGGCTACATAGTGAATTTAAAGCCAGCTGGAACTACATAGTGAGACTCTGCCTCAAATATAAAAAGAAGAAAAAATAAAGAGGTATTGCTGGGTGTGGTAGCACATCCGTGTAATCCCAGCACTGGGGAGGCTGAGGCAGGAGGATTGCTGTGAGGTTGAGGCCAGCATGGGCTACGTAGTGAGTTTAAGACCAGCCTAAATTACACAGTGAGATGCTGTCTGAAAACAGAAAACAAACAAGGAATAGAAAGTCTTTTGTTGTTGTAACTGTTTTTTTTTTTTTTTAAGACAGGGTCTTACTATGTAGCTCAAACTGGCCTTGAACTGGCTGTGTAGCCCAGGCTGGCCTCAAACTGGCAGTGACCTGCCTCAGCCCCTGAGTGCTAGGATTTCAGGTGTGCGCCACTATGCCCTGGCTACGGTTGTTATATTGGGAATTGAATGCAGGCCCTTGCATATAGCTAAGCAAGCATACTACTATGAGGTACATCTCCAGCCCCCTTTTAAAATTTTTAGTTTTTAATTGGAGTCTTGCCAAGTTCCATGGGCAGGCTTCAAACTTGTGATCCTCCTGCCTCAGTTTCCCAAGTAGCTGTGACTATAAGACTATGGCACCATCCCCAGTTTAAAGAGTTTTGTGGTAGTTTAACATGTTCCCCCTGGGTTGAACAACTCGTGGCACATGCATGAATGTTCCACTGCGCAGCTTGTGCCCCTGGTGGTACAAATGGATGTAATTACTTTTATGGGTCTTTTCTCATATTAAAATTAATAAAAAGTCACCAATTGAACAGTCATGCATGTACCACTGGTGGGTCAAGCTGCCTGGCAATGAGACATACAAATTATGGTCCTGTGTTACGTGAATGTATTAAATTAGTAAAAATATTTGAGCATTTAAATTTTATGTTAATGAAACATAAATGTAATACTGCTAATCATAATTGTTTTCCTATGTTGTTTTTCAGTAGTCTGTTGTGATAATTTTACTTGTTTTTAAATAATTAAAAGCATATTCAAGTGCTTTAACTGCCAAGATGTAAAACGTAAATATAATAGGTTCCTGGGCACAGTGGCTCCTGCCTATAATCCCAGTACTTTGAGAGGCTGAGCCTGGAGGGTGGCAAGCTCCCATGTGGACCACTTGGCGAGAGCCTGTCTCACTAGAAAAAGGAAAACGGTGCTGAGGGTGTAGCTCAGTGTTAGAGCGGCCCCAGACCTGAGTCTGGGCGCCACAGAACAAGCAGACTCCTGTTTTTTACATCTCTCAATATTCCCATCGTACCTCACATGATAATGATATTGAATATCCAAGAGGCAAATAGAAGTCAATGAAACAAATATTTTAGGTGGCCCAACGATGTCTTGTAATTTTTATACTGATTTTATAGATTTTGAAAACAGGTTGACATTTATTTCTATTTTTTAGGAAGTACATTTTAAAGGAAAATTAGTAGATATTTAGAAAGTATGCATGTTTCAAATGTGTATTACCATTTTTTAAACTATACACTTTTTTTGTTTGTTTTGTATTGTCTTGTTTTTCTGGTACCGGGAATCGAACTCACGACGTTGCGCTTGCCAGGCAGGCGCTGTGCCACTGAGCTAAATCCCCAGCCCCTAAACTGTGTAGTTTTGGTAGGACTGCCATGAGAAATTTTAAAAATAATTGTTTAGCCGGGCGTGGTGGTGCATGCCTGTAATCTTAGCACTTGGGAAGCTGAGGCAGGAGGATTGTAGTGAGTTTGAGGCCAGCCTGGGCTGCAAAGTGAGCTCCAGGCCAGCCTGAACTGCATAGTGAGACCCTGTCTCAAAAAGACCAAAAAAACCCTATAATATACAAAAACAATTCTTTAAATATCATTTGTTATTTGTTTTTTGTTTTTACTGTGGATCTATTTGAAAATGTGTTTCTTTCAGTTTAACTGTAGAAGTTTTAAGGACAAAAGGCCCCTGTGTTGTCGAGGAAAATGACCCTATATTTGAGTGTGGTTCTACAACTACGTATTCCAGCTTTAGGAAAAACTATTACTCTAAACCATGGTCAAATAAAGGTAACTAATTTTCATTAAAAATTGAGTTATTTATTTGAAATGAATTGTGTGAGTTATTTATTTGAAATGAAACCTGATTTAAGTCAGGTCTTCCATAAGCAAATAAATGTGAAGTACTGTGGTGTTTTCTTCCCAGCTAATTTTATTGGCACCTCTACCCGCCCCACTGTGGAACTGTATCTCTTGACTTTATTTTAGAAAAGTGAGGGATGAGGGAGGGGAGGGGAAGGGGGTGAACAAAGAATGAAGATGTGTTATGCACCAACTCCTTACATTGAGTGTAATTATTATTTACTGCAAACATGTACTAATAAAGTCAGTCTTTTTAAGAATTAGCTCTTCGGTCATTTTTGACTGGAATCTTTCTCTTAAGTCCTACAAAGCAAGATCATTTAAATGAAAAATTAGCAATAATTTGTAATAGTCTTAATGTTTCACTTCAGATAGTATTGTATAATACAGTTTTTATAGATAAAATGATACCAAGGAAAAAAGTACACAATAAATGATATGCTTATTAGTTACCTTTTATGGTAAGAAGCAACATTTTGGGAAAAGCAAATGTGACAGAATATAGAGGAAAGAGATTCTGTACTGATTTTCTGACTCTACCTGTCCTGTTCTGAGGTAACTGTATACCTTTCTCGTGTATTTTCTAGTTGCTTTCTCTTTGTACTACTTCCTTGCGCGTATAATGATGTAATCGCAACAACTGACAGTTTTCTTCCAGGCATTTTGAATGAGGCCAGATAACAAAATGTCTTTTTAATAAAATCTGGCTGTTTTGGTTTAAACAGGAAAATTTCTTACACTATGTTTTAGAAAAATGTTTTAAGATGTTTTTAAATATTTCTTGAAGTTTTTTTTCTATAAAATTAAGTACTGTGAAATGTGTGTTTTTAATTTCATATGTGCTTATGTAAGATTTCTTTCCTCTGAACAGATTAATTTCAGTGATTCTAAATCTTATTTTTACAGAAACAGATATGTTCTTTCTAGCCATCAGCATGGTAGGAACTGACTTTTCCATGATTGGACAACTTTTTCCTCATAGAGCAAGGATAGAGATTAAGGTAATCTCATCACATTTGTTGGTTGAAAAGAGACCACATGTTGCCAATATTATTTGGGGGGTGGTGGGCAGTACTACAGATTGAACCTAAGGCCTAACATATGGTAGGCACGCGTTCTACCGTTGATTCATTTTCCTAGGAACCCCACCTCCAGCCCCTACCCCATTTTTTTTTTTTGCAGTATTGAGGATGACTCTAGGGTTGTAGCACTGAGCTACATCCAGTCCTTTTTTTTATTTTTTCATTTTGAGGTAGGATCTTGCCTAGTCATTAAGTTGCCCAAGCTGGGCTTGAATTTGTATTACCCCCTGCCTCAGCCTCCCAGAATACCAGTACAGTATTACAGGTATGTGCTACCATCCCTGAGCCCTAGCTCTTTTTTTTTTCTTATGTGACAGGATCTTGCTATGTAGTTCAGGCTGACCTTGAATTCACTATGTAGCTGAGGCTGACCTTGAACTCATGGTGATCCTCTTACCTCAGCCTCCCAAGTGCTGGAATTACAAGCATGTGCTGCCCACCATACCTAGTTCTTTTTAAAAAAATATTTGAGCCGGGGATATAGCTCGGTGGCATAAGCACCTGCCTGGCAAGCACACGGTTCTGAGTTTGATTCCCAGTACCAAAAAAACCAAGACTTTACTAAAAAAACGTTTGAGATAAGGTCCTGCTAAATTGCCCAGGCTGACCTTGAACTTACTCTACTGAATAGATGGGGTAGTAGGTATATACTGTCACTCTCTTTCTCTCTCTCTCTCTTTTTTTTTTTTTTTTGGTGTGGTACTAGGGATTGAGTGCTTTTCTTTCTTTCTCTTTTTTCTGAGTGTTTTTTAATTTTTTTTTTTTTTTTTTTTTTTTGAGATAGGGTCTCACTCATTTGCCCTGGCAGAACTCAAACTTGAGATCATCTTGCCTCAGCCTTCTCAGTGCTGGCATTATAGGTGTATGTCACAACTCCTGGCTTACTATTTTTAACTATTATTTAAGTGCACACTTCAACAGCACATATAATAACTTTTATTTAAGTCACAGTCTGTCTTATTTTTACTGTTTTGTTCTGTCACTCTCCTGAATTTTCTAGAATGGCATAAAGTAACTAATTCTAAGTTATCCAACAACTGAGCTAGCTGTTACTTTCCTAGGCTACTTTACCTTCGGGCAGCCACTGGAATATTCCAGTTACAGCTTCAATATGCCTGAGAACATGAGTTTTTCCTGTGTCTTTGCTGGGAGACTTTATATGAGTTTCCTGGGACGGAGTGCATCTGACTGCTATCATGCTGTGCTTGCCATGGTGCATTCTCAGTGCATAGTGAGATCTTTACTCAGTCGTGCCTTCCTCTTCCTTTCCTACCCCATCTTGTTTATTGCATTAGTAAAAATAACCAATAGGGAAGATGATTTTTGTTTTCTTTGTAGAACTGTGTTAGGCACAGTTGATTGCCTGGGGACATTATGTGATCGGCATTGTACAGTGCAATGCAGTAGCTCTCCTTATATTGTATTTCTGCAAATGTGAGAACTTTATATTCTTTATGTAATGTTGATCTCTGATAAAGGAACACGGTGTTTATTGTGAAGGCTTGGAAATCAATCATCTATAACCTGAGTAGTTCATAGTAAATTTCTCACTGGAGCACAAGGTTGTGAGTTCGATTCCCAGTATCAGAAAAAAAAAACAAACCAAATTTCTCACTGGCATATTCTCTCAGAAGTCATTCAGACTTTCCTTAGAAGGTCAGCATAGTTCCAATAGGTCCTTCAGAAAAATGAAAATGGACTGTATTGAAGGCTACTAGGTTACATCACATTGATTCTCTGCTTTTTTTGTTTTTTTGTGACAGAGTCTTACTGTGCAGTTCAGGCTGGCCTGGAACTCACTTTGTAGCCCAGGCTGGCCTTGAACTCACACCGATCCTCCTGCCTCAGCCTCCTCAGCAGTGCCGGGATTACAGGTGTGCACCAGCATGCCCAGCCACATTGATTTTCAGATGTACTAGCTCTGATTTCCTGGGATCAACTCTTGTTTCCTTATACTATGTACTTTTTATGTGTTTCTGAATTTTGGCATATTTTCTTGAGGATTTTTAATGACTTTGTGAGCAATATTAGCTTGTAATTTTCCATTTTCTTTTAAATAAAAATGCTGGGGATTAAGCTCTGGGCCTCTTACCTTCTTAAATACTCATATTGCCATTGAGCCCCTAGCCTCTGTAATTGTCTTTTTTAAAAAATGAAACTGTTTATTTACTCAGTGTATTGAATTTTTGACATTTTTTCTCTTTCTTTCTTTCTTTCTTTCTTTCTTTCTTTCTTTCTTTCTTTCTTTCTTTCTCTTTCCCCCCTTCCTTCCTTTCTTCTTTTCTTTCTTTTGTTCATTCATTCGTTCTTGGCTTTGCTGTGCAGTTCAGGCTATCCTTGAACTTGCTTAGGTAGCCCAGGCTGGTCTCAAACTTGTGGCGATCCTCCTGCCTCAGCCTCCTGAGTGCTGGGATTACAGTTATGTACCACCAAGCCTGGCCAGACATGTACTTTTTGACAGTTTAAAATGATATAAACTGAAAATTTGAGGCCTAGCTTACAAATCTATTTTGCATTTAGGTGTATTTCACTTTATGTAGCAATTTTAGGCTTTATGTTTTTAATTTTAGTTTTAACCATCAAATCTTTCATACAGTTATCTACCACACTTTTTAATTTTTCTTTTTTTTTTTTTTGGTACCAGGAATCAAACTGAGGACCCTGCATTTGCCAGGCAGGCACTGTGCCACTGAGCTATCTCCCTGGCCCACTTTTTAATTTTTCTGTTGGCTGCATTAAATCAGTCAGCAAAACTTTCAGAGAAGGTTCTTGACCTTTCTTAACCCTTGGTATCTGAGAATGTCTTCCAGTTGCCTTCATTTACAAGTACTAACTTGGCAGGGTATATAATTCTTGGCTCAAAATTATTTTAACCTTAAAACTAGATGTTCCATTGTCTTCTGGCATTAGAATTATAATAGGAAAATGTGAGCTCAGTCTGATGTTTTGGCCATTTATAGGTAACCTGCTTTCTCTGGATACTTGCAAAATTTTTTCTTTGTCTTCTAAATTGTAAAAAGTTATAAGGGTATCTCTAGATGTTGCTTTCTTTTCATTAAATTTCAAAGGTTCATTGTGAGCCTTCTTCCTTTGCAGGCCTACTTCATTCTTCAGTTCTGGAGAGTTTTCTTCAGTTAGTTCCATAGTTATTGTTTCAGCTTCATTTGGTTTGTCTTCTGTTCTAGGTATTCTTATTACATGTATATTGCAAATCCTAGACAGGCCCTCTACATCTCTTTTTTTCTTTTCTCTTCTGAATTTCTTTGGCCTTGTCCTCTGCATTCTGTGAGAATTTCTTGTTTTCTACTTACTGCAGTTTTATTTTGTAACCAGCCCTGCTTATGTGCTTCCTTTAAGTGGAAGGCCATGATCTCTTCCATGTTGTCACACACCACCAGCCCACGTGGGTAATGAAGTCTCCTATAAAACATTCAATGCTTTCTAGATGATTGCTGTAGACTACTACATCAGTATCGATTACTTAGCTCTATGCTTTTCTTCTGAACCTCGGTCTTGCAACCTTTTCAACAGCTCTTTGCAATGGGGTCCAAAAAATGCAGTCTTCCCAAGCCCTGAAGTTGAAGAACCTGTAATTTTCTTTTAACATCCTTGTCCTCTTTTGATATGAAGATTATGCTGATCATAGAAAATGCATTGGAGTGTTTTTTCTTTGCATTTTGAAAGAATTTAAGATTAGTACTCTTTGTCCTTTGATGTTGGGTAGAACTCATCAGGGAAATCATCTAGTCTCATAATTTTCTTTGGAAGAAGAGTTTAGATTACAATTTCAATTTTTAACATGTAGATAGGAGTATTGAGGCTTTTAGTTTCAGCTAGGTGCTATGTCATGCACCTGTGGTCCCTGCTACTCAGGAGGCTGAGGCAGGAGGAGCACTGTGAGTTCGAGGCCAGCTTGGGCTACAAAGTGAGTTCAAGCCCAGCTTGAACTGCATCATGAAACCCTGTCTCATTTTTTTTCCATCATTTTTAAAAAGCTAAAGCTTTAAGTAACTTAACTGTTGGCAAAGATACACTGCTTAGAATAGTATGTTATTCATAAGTTTCATTTTAATATTTACTAATTAAAAAGGCTTTACTTGTTTAATGAGAGAGTATTTTTTGTTGTTATTGACAGAATAAATTTAAACGTGAAGAAAAAACAAATGGGTGGAGAATAGACAAAGCGTTCCGTAAGTATTAAGGACCCCTTTTACAAAGTATTTAGAGAGGCTAAAAAAATGACCATTCTTTTGTCTTTAGTATATTTCAGGTTTATTTTGTTTTGTTTTGAGATAGAGTCTTGCTATGTAGTTCACACAGGCTTGAGCTAACTATGCAGTTCTTGGTGATCATCCTGCCTTAGCCTCCCCAAGTGCTGGGACCACAGGTGTGCCCCTACAATGCCCAGTTAGATTTGTTTTGTCCTTGTAATGGTATAGTAAGAATAAGATTGGAAATTTTTTTGTTTAAAAATACAGGTTTGATAGTTGCTACAAATCTGTTTGCAAGGGATTAGTCAAAATGTCCAGAAACTGATAAACAGAGTTCTAAGTCCAAAGATTGTAGAAGGACTGATCATGATACTTCTAAGTAGTTTTTAATTCTGAAGGAACTATAGTCAAGGAATTGTTACTGGAAGAGAGTTTTATAGATGGTTCTTTCCAGTAATTAACTAGTCACTCAGTCCACATCACTGAGCACATGCTGTGTGCTGGTTGGTACGCTAGTATTGAGGATATTATGATAAACAGGGCAGAGGAGAATCCTGCCTTTAGAAGCTTAGGTCTGAATGGGTGGGGGAAATTGATCAACGTGGTAGTTTCTAAAGTGATTGATTTCTAAGAAAAAGGAAAAAGAGGGACTTAGGGACTTGATATTTAGATTGGGTCATCTAGGAAGTTTTGTCTGAAGAGGTAACATTTGAATTTAGAACTGATTTGGAGAAAGGATAGGTACTTTCTCCTAATATTTTTGTTAAAACTAGCATTCTTTTCTTTTTGAAAGTTAGTAAAAAACATTACGACATCTGTAAAGAAAAATAATTAAAATTCCTTGAAGATACACATTTTTCATGGGTATATAATTACCAATATTTTGTAATAAATGTACCCAACATCCATTTAGCTGTAAAATTAGTTCATTAAAATTAAATAAACTTCCTTAATTGAAATTGGCCATTGGAGTTGAGCCCAGGGTATTGCACATACTAGGCAGGCATACTACTTTTGACCCACACCGCAGGCCCATAATACTAATTTTAGACGAAAATCCAGGTATGGATATGGAGAACTTACATTTTGCAGCATGTACATTTATCTTACATAAGTAAACACTATGGTGGATCAAAGAATTCTGTGCCCTGTGTTGTTTTGTGTCCTTAGGGAAACCACTTCAGGAATGGCTCATGGAATATCTGGACTATTACAGACTTTTCATTAGGCGAGAAACTTTTCATTAGGCTTAATAATTATAATCAGAGAATTATTCATACATCTGTATATTTACAGATTTTTGCTGATTTTGGTGGCTCATAGTATAAAATTAAAAATAAATTAAAACCCATATAAGTGTTTTTGGAACTTAAAATTTTAAATTTTCTTTCTTTTTTTGATTGTTTATTTTTTGTATTTTGAAACCGAGTCCCATTGTGCATTTTAGGCTGGACTTGGACTCACTATGTAGCCTAGTCTGGCCTTGAACACAGGGCAGTCCTCCTGCCTCACTCTCTTGAATGCTGGATTTACAGGCATGTGCCACCATTCCTGACTTATATAGAGACCATTTTTTTTAAACAGTGACAAAGTTTATTTGAAAAAATAAAAATGAAGAGGGAGGGAGAAACTGGCTCTGAAAAGTGAGACTGGGCCAAGTAGAAGAGGAAAAAAAGCAACACACAATACACCCTGGAGGACACAGGGCGGAGTACCATGAGGAAAGCCATGATAGCCTCATAGGTCACTTATGGATTCTTAGAGTGCTAAGCAGCTCACTGTTGTACAGAGTTACCAGGTTAAAGCTGGGTCTTCGGGCCGGGGATATAGTTCAGCGGCACAAGCGCCTGCCTGGCAAGCAAACGTCCTGAGTTCGATGCCCGGTACCAAAAAAAAAAAAAAGCTGGGTCCTCAGAAAAACAGGACCTTCATATTTGATTGAGTTTTTTGGGATTGTTTGTTTTTCTCTTAGTATACACCTCTTTTTCTGAAGCCTTCTTGTAATCTTTCACCATAGTTTAGATGTGAAGTTCAAGAAAGGATTTGACTCCTGTGATAGATTCATTTCTGGTTTTTTACTCATTGCTTTCTTTTTTTAACTTTTTTTATGTTTTGGTACTGGGACTAGAACTCAGGGCCTTGCACTTGCCAGGCTGTGCTGCTGAGCTATATCCTCGGTCCACTGATTGCTTTCTGATATGTGCTGTTGATGGGTAATTTGGTGGGAGTATTCCTTGTTGCATTAAGCTGACTTATGTTTTACATTTACTTCCCACTTTACTGATATTTGGAAATAGTTATGATCCAGGGAGGGCTTTTGATAATGTGTAGATATTTTGAGGACTTCTCAGTCATCTTCACTTTTATTCTGTTTTGTAGTGCTGGAAATTTAACTGAGGGCCTTGAGCCTGCTTAGCAAGTGCTCAACTAGTGAGCTACACACTAGCCCAGGCCCCGCTCCCTTTTGGTGCTGGGGACGGAACCCAGGATATGTGCTTGTTAGGCCTGTGCTGCACTGTTGAGCTATGCCTGCAGCCCTCTTGCCACGCTTAACAAATGATTTGTATTTACACACACTTGAAAGTGTAGTTTTGAATTTTGACAAAGAGTACTCTTTTGTAACGACCAAGCCAAACCATATATGGAACATTTTTATCACTTGCAAAGATCCTTTGATTTCCTTTCCATCATCAAATCTTATCCTAGTCCAAGGCAACCACTATTTTACTTTGAATCACCATAGATTCTTTTAGCATGTTGTAGAACATCTTAGCTCATGTACTAATACAGTGTGTGCTCCCTTGTGTCTGGTTTCTTTTGCTTGATGTGTTTTCAGGACCTCTCCAGTTTTTTGCTTGTTATCAGTTATCTTCCTCACCCCTAAACTAGTTTCCTTTTATTGTTGTTCAGTGTTCTGGAGTATGCTTGTTTATCCATTGTCTTGCTGTTAAATTGCAGTGGCAAGCAGAAACACTGAAATGACACCCAGGATTTGGAGGCAGATTTATTTACGTCAGCAGGCACTGATTGGGATCACTTCCACAATATCAGGCCTTGGTTTCTGCTAGTCTAGGGCTTATATGGAATAAGCAAGCAAGAAGTACAGAGAGGCAGTATGGCTTATCAGTTGGGGATTGATTCATACAGTGTGCATCATAGTGACCAACTGTGCATCACAGTGCCCAGCCGTTTCTCAGAGACAGGAGCAACCGGATCTGGAACAGAAACTATTACCTGGGCAACTAACAAACTGAAGTATACTGGTGGTGGAGGCAGCTTTTCTGCTATAAAGAAAGCCCATTTGCTTTTGATGTCATGAAACTTAGAAAACTAGAACGTTCTTTTCCTTTTGAAAATGAAAACTTGAAGGTTCTTTTTCTTTTTTTTTTTTTAAACAGAAGAGAAACGCCCTTTTGACTTCGATTTTTTTGCTCATTTGCTCCAGAAAGTTCTTGCGGAAGAAGAGAAAAGAAAACAAAAATCAGCTAAAAATCAAGGTGTAAAGAAGAAATCGTCCAAACCACGAAAAAATGTAAAAGGTATTAACTGTACAAGGAAGTGTGTGGTGGAAGTGTGTGACTTTACTTGCGGTAGTAGACTTGGGATGCTCTCCCTTAGGAATTGAGAGTCATGTGCAGCTCAGGCGGAGATCGTCAGAGCCTGCAATTAGAGGGAATTAGTGCTTCTTCACTTTACCAGTTACTGGGGCTAACACAGCAGCTCCCTTTTCGATTTTGTAATTGGCATGGCTGCTGTTTGACATTCTTCTAGTATCTAGGCATTGCTATAGCTGATCAAAGAGCGTGAGCATTTGAACACAACTTACTTCTGAAGGTTAGTGTTGACTTGACCAGGTAGAAACGTGTTCATATGTGGGTACTTCTGTTTTTTTGGCTCATATATTTTCTTCTTTTCTTTTCTTGTCTTTTTTTTTTTTTTTTGAGACAGGGTATTTATTGCTATGTAGTTCAGAGTGGCCTAGAGCTTACCAGCTGGCCTCGAACTTATGGCTTTCCTCCTGCCTCAGCCTCCTGAATGTTGGGATTACAGACATGGGCCACCAGGCCTGGTTGTTTTTTTAAGTGTGTGAACTCTGCTCTGTGAGAACAATGTTCACCTATCATCACATAATTTGAAGAATCTTGGGACTACAGGGAACCTTATATGTTAGTTCATATGTATTTCCTTCCCGTTTGTTTCTGTCACTGGAAGATGGCCCCAGAGATCCTAAGTCACTTTTTCTTAAGGTCTCACAGTGTGAATAGTGGCAGAAGCAGGACTCAGACCTGGGACTGAGCACCTGTGCTGGAAGTCCTTAAGACCACTACCATGTTTGATTATTTGCCAGGAGGGCTCCAATGTGTAAGCACTCTCTGCTTGGCACATAGCAAAATTCCACTCCCCAAGAGGAAGACAGTTCAGTGTGAGCCGTGTTGTGCAAACAGCCTCAGCGCAGTGAGCAGTCCTTAGAAGCTGGAGAAGTGGACACCTTTCCTAAGACCATGCTTCCAGACATGACCCCGGGGCAGCCTCCAGTGCAGCCTTTCAAAAGATAGCAGGCAGGTCTGTCACATTCTCTTCCTGCTCAAATCCAGACTAGAATTTCTTTAATTTCTAGAGCATGGTGCTTGTATCTTTTAAAAAGTAGTATTGCTAACTGCAGTTACTTCATCTTTCAGTTTTTTCTTTCTGTGTAGTACACATAGCATTAGGAGGTTAAAATAGATATATTAGTTCTTGTGATTGTCACATTACAGGGAGTAGTATGATTCACTGTAATCTTATTTAGTGGGAGTAATAAGATTCACTGTAATCTTATTTAGTGTAAGAACTAAAGAGATCATTATAACTCAGAATTTAGAAATTTCTGGTTGGTATTCTGGCAATAAATCAGATGGTTTCTCAGTTTTAAAATCGTATTTTCACTCATTTTGAACATAAGTAAATAATATTAATAGTGTTATCTTTTGACAGGATATGTGTAGAGATGTCTGATGAGTCATAGTTGTGAAGTTAAGCTTGCTTTTTGCTTTGAATGCTATCTTAAGTCTGTTCTGTGCAACTCTGATGGAATGCCTGAGATTATGTAACTTATAGAGAAAAGAAATTTATTTGTCACAGTTCTGGAGGCTGGGGAGTCCAAGATTAAGGCATCTGTCATCTGTGGAGGGCCTTCTTGTATCATATAGTGACAGGGCAGAGGGAAAGGATAAGAGGGAGCTGAGCTCCCCTTTCATAATTACAGGCTCAGGGGGCTGGGGATATAGCTCAGTGGCATAAGCGCCTGCTTGGCAAGCGCAAGGTGGTGAGTTTAATCCCTGGTACCGCAAAAAAAAAAAAAAAATAATAATTACAGGCTTAGTTTCACCACAAGGGCCAGCTTCTGGTCTCATCACCTCAAAGATTCCACCTGATAATACCGTCACAGTGACAAATTTCAACATGAGTTTTGGAAGGGACAGACATTCAAACTAGCAGGTTGATGGTGATCTCCTTTTTTTTGAGACCGGGCCTTACTTGATAGTTCAGGCTGGTCTTGAACTCACTGTAGCCCATACTGGTCTTGAACTTGTGGGATCCTCCTCCTGAGCCTCTGGAGGGCTGGGTGCATCATTACACTGGGATCACAGTGATCACTGTTTTCTTGGTGTTTATTTCAAATTTTCATGATGCAATTGGCTATTAATATATTTTAATAGGCAGAAAAGTAAAAATTATTAAAACAATTATTTTAGAGATTGTTCATTAAAACACAAAGCAAAATTTTTAGACTTGTGAGGGATAACTGTTACTAGACTCTTTGTTGTGCATGTTTGGTGTCTTAAAGTATGTGTAATTATTACTATGTAACAAAAATGGGGCCACATGTATCCAGCCATCAGAGATATATGCCACTTGATATTTTAGACATGTTTTGAAGTCTTATTAGTACATCTCTCATTTTTATTACTGCCTACATGGACCTCCCCTACCATAGTGCTGCTGATTGAATCTGTGACTTGCCCGTGGTTATGAGCACATGCTCTACCAGTGATCTTTCTCCCGGTCCTTACCTGCAAAGATTTTTATAGCACAGATGTATTACAACTTACTTAATCGTGCCCTATTTTGGGTTTTCTTCAATTTTTTGCTCATACGAATAATATTTACAGAATATACTTTTGAGTATTTTTCTTGTTCTTTGTGGTTTTTTTTTTTTTTTTTTTTTTTTTGTCTTTTTGAGACAGGGTCTCATTATGCGGTTCAGGTTGCCCTTGAGCTCACTTTGTAGCCCAGGCTAGTCTCGAACTGGCAATGATCCTCCTGCCTCAGCCTCCGGAATGCTGGGATTACAGGCATGTGACGCTGTGCCGGCTTGAGTATATTTCTTTACCTTTAAGAATTTTTCTATAAATTGTTCATATGTTTATGACCATTTCTTCTCTTTTTAGTGAAAAAAGTTACGAGTGAAGTTGTGGATGATGATCCAGATGAATGTGTTAGTACGAAAATTTCAGACACGGAAGCATCTCAAAGGGATGCTCAGGTAGTTGCAGAAGAGGACTCTCTGACTTCATCAGGGCAGGGTGTAGAAGCTGTATCAGAACAAGACCAAAGTCAAAAGAAAAGAAGAAGGAAGAAGAACCAAGATGGAGCAAATGAGCAGGAAGCACAAAGTCTTTCAGGAAATGCTACTATTCAGGCAGGTTCTTCTGAAGGAGGAAAGCAGAAGAGTAAGTGTGTTACACATTTTAATAGCCTCCGTGTTGCTAAGGCACGAGTAGCAATGTGGTGTCTAGGGAACACTTTCCTTACAGATAGCAGCAATTAATACTTATTAATTGGTTCTGTACTCATAATGCTATATTAAATGCTGCCTGTAATCCCAGAACTCTAGAAGGCTGAGGCAGGAAGATTGCAAGTTCAAGCTCAGTCTGGGCAATTTAGCAATTTAGTGAGGCAGACTCAAAATTTCAAAAAAATTCTACGGATTTAGCTAAATGAAAAGGCCCTGGGGGCTGGGGATTTAGCTCAGTGGCAAAGCACCTGCCTGGCAAGTGCAAGGTTGTGAGTTTGGTTCCTGGTACCGGAGAAAAACCAAAAAAAAAAAAAAAAAGGCCCTGGGTTCAATCCCCAGAAAGGAAAAAAAAAAAAAAAAAACCCAAAAAACCAAGATGTTAAGCAAGGAGACTTTCTTTAAAGTATGTTTCTAAGATGTTCTACATCCTCCCCATTAACAGTGATCGGTAATCACATAAATATAGTTAAACGTATGTTGCTCATGTCTTTTAGTAAATCACAGATTTTCGTGGACTACCTTTATAAAACCGCAGTGTGATGCTTGATAGCTTTTAAAAGAGCTAGTGGAATAAGAATATCTTCCATTTTTCTTTTTTTTTTTTTTCTGTGGTATTGAAAATTAAACCCTGGCCCTTTATATGTACTGAGCTACATCCTCAGCCCGTTTTATATATTCTATTTTGAGATTGGATCTTGCCAAGTCACTAAGTTGCCAAGGCTGGGTTTGAACTTACTTTGATCCTCTTGCCTCAGCTTCCCCAAGAGCTGAAATTAAAAAAATCTTTCTTTTTTTTTTGGTACCAGGAATTGAACTCAGGACCTTGCGCTTGCCAAGCAAGGTGCTGTGCTGCTGAGCTCTATCCCCAGCCCCTTCTTTTTCACTCTTAGAATGCAGATACATGGTTTATACTTAGGAGTTGCTAGGAGATGAAGGCTAACATTTTATCAGGGTCTTGGTCTTTAGTCCTTTTCCTTAAAAGTTCATGTATATAAAAGGAGCTGATCAGGCTGGGGTGTAGTTCAGGTTAGAGTGCTTCCTTAGTGTGGACAAGGCCCTTGGATTCAGTCCCTAGCACCAAAACAGAAAAAAGAGAGAAAAAACAGATATTCAAGTAAAAACTAGGAAGAAATGGTAGTAGCAGAGCAGAAAAGCCTTTCTATAAAATTCCATTTGCATGTAATTCACCTTCACCAATCTGATTTTAATAAATGTGTTCTAGTAGTTAAAGTAGTATGCTTTGCTTGTTTGTATAGTATTGAGGATTGAACTCACGGCCTTCTCACTGAGCTATGTCCCCTTTGCACAGCTCCTGCCCCTCGAGTGAGCACTTGAATTTGTGATCTTCCTCCGTCAGCTTTCTAGAGTGCTGGGATCATAGCTCTACCATTGTGCCCAGTGAAAGCATTATGATTTACAAGCTTCATAATTTTATGCTTTTTGTGGCTTCCTTGTATGGGAGACACTACACATAAGGCAGAGTAGCTTGATTCAGAAATCAGATTTTAGAGATCAAACAAACTTTGTCTTTATTTCTAAATAGGACAGTGGGCAAGTCACTGTAGGTCTGTTAGCTCAGATTGCTCTTCTCTGTGATGGGGTGAATATTAATACCTTTGGATGGGATTGAGTATTGAATGAGATAATGCATCTGACGGATTTAAAAGTTCTTACCATTTAGTATTGAGTAAGCAATAGCTGTTACTGTGTTATTACTATGCTTCTAAAGGAGCAGAACAGCCAAGTTCATTTTTAGTTTCCTCACTAGACACATAAAAAAGTTGCTGGAAGTTAATACAGATTTCTGAAGACACTTGTGCAGCTCCTTAAAACAGGAACAGTTATACATTGATAAAATTTTTCATTATGCCCCCCAAATAGGATGTGTACCTTACAGATAAGAATCGAGCCTGGCTAGTGACATGTGCCTGCAATCCCAACAGTTGGGAAGTTGAGGCAGGAGAATCACTGTGAGTTCAAGGCCAGCCTAGGATATTTAGTAAGACACTGTCTGAAAAACCAAACAAAAATTTGAAATGGTGAATGGATTAATGTTTTATAGGAAGAGACAGTATTGTATTTAAGTTCCTTTCAGCTTTAAACAATTAGATGTTTCTGCTATCATTTTTTAGGATAACGTGCATTTTATATTTCTAGATGAATGTCAGTCTTTAAGGCCTGAGGCGAATGAAAGTGAGTACAGTAAGGAGCACACGCTGTCTTGCACACAGAACCTGGATGACAGTGTGGACGTAGTCTCCAGTGAAAGAGTTGAGGAGAGAAATGACCCCATCCTTTCTGCAAGGTATTTTCTCTGTGTTTATTGGTTTTGTCTACAGTACTTCATCTTGTGTTGGTTGCCGAGAGTACTGACGTCTTTTAAGTGTAACTGTAAACCTACATTTCTCGTGCTAGCTCTGTGTTTTCGCTTCATTTGTTTTGAGCTTTTGGTGCAATATCCTTGATCACTGTTCACTGTCCTATGATACTGCTTTTTCTGATGTTTACTTTGCATTCCCGCTTGGTTAGTGTTTTATCATTTTCTACAAAGATTTTCTTTTCTCTCTTCTTGCTTTTCTTGTTCTTCTTGTTCTTGTTCCTGTTCTTCTTCTTGTTCTTCTTGTTCTTGTTCTTGTTCTTCTTCTTCTTGTTCTTCTTCCTCTTCTTCTTCCTCTTCCTCTTCTTCTTCTTCTCCTCCTCCTTCTTCTTCTCCTCCTCCTTCTTCTTCTTCTTCTCCTTCCTCTCCTTCTCCTTCTCCTCCTTCTCCTTCTCCTTCTCCTTCTCCTTCTCCTTCTCCTTCTCCTTCTCCTTCTCCTTCTCCTTCTTCTCCATCTTCTCCTTCTTCTCCTTCTTCTCCTCCTTCTTCTCCTTCTCCTTCTCCTCCTTCTCCTCCTTCTCCTCCTTCTCTTCCTTCTTTCTTGGTTTTTTGGTTTTTCTCCGGTGCCGGGAACCGAACTCATGACCACCTTGCGCTTGCCAGGCAGACGCTTTTGCCGCTGAGCTAAATCCCCAGCCCCCTCTTCCTTCTTTCTTCTTCCTTCTTCTTTCTTCTTTCTTCTCTTTTCTTCTTTCTTGTTCCTTCTTCTTTCTTCTTTCTTCCTTCTTCTTTCTTCTTCTTGTTCCTCTTCTTCTTCTTCTTTGGTGCTGGGGGTGAAACCCAGGGTTTCTTGCGTGCCAGGTGAGTGCTCAACCCCTGAGCTACAGCCCTAGCCCCTTTACTTAGTTTTTATTACAGTAAAAATTCCAAGAGATCTTCCCTCTTGAGAAAAATTTAAGCATAGTGTATATTGACTCTAAGTGAAGACTACTACTGTATAGCAGGTCTCTGGAATTTTTTTCCTCTTGTGTAATAGAAACTCTATACCCATTGGATTTCCCATTTTGTTTTTGTGCCAGCATCCAGAACAGAATTTCCATATAACCATCCAACTTTTTGTTTCTGTGAATTTGATTACATTAGATATCTCACGTAAATGGAACCATGTAGTGTTTGTATTTTATGTAATGTCCTGGGGGTTCATCATGTTATAGCATAAGCAGTACTTCTTTATTTTTATCACATTGTATTTTTTGTGGTGCTGAGGATCAAACCCAGAACTTTGTACATGTGAAGGCAGTGCTCTGCTACTGAGCTGAATCCCCAGCTGAGAATTTCCTTCTTATGGTTGAATAATATTCTGTTGTGTATGCACACAGTACCTCATTTTCTTTATCTGTGACTCAGTGGGTGAGTGTTTAGGTTGTTTTCATCTCTTGGCTATTGCGTTACGTGGTGGTGAGCACTGGGTTGCAGGTATCTTTTTGGGCTCCTGGTTTCAATTATTTTTGGGGGGGTTAATACCCACATGTGAGATTGCTAAGTCATGGGAGTCCTATTTTAATATTTTGAAGAACCTTCCTACTTTTTCTAGTAGCTGGTGCACTTCATGTTTCCATCAGCAGTTTATAAAGGGTATAATTCTTCCACGTCCTTACCAGTGCATTTTTAGGTCTTTTGATAATAGGTATCCTGGGAGGTAGGAGGTGATATGTTACTATTGTTTTGATTTGCATTTTTGTGATGATTGGTGATGTGGAGCACCATGTCATATCCTGACTAGCTGTTGCATAACTTCTTTGTACAAATGCCTATTAAATCCTTTGTCTAGTTTTATTTAATTGTATATTTGGTTTTTTTGAGACAGGGTCTCATGTGCAATCCAGGTTGGCCAGGAACTCACTATGTAGCCCACATTGGCCTTGAACTTGCAGCAATCTTCTTGCCTCAGCCTCTCAAGTGCTGAGATTACAGGCATGTGTCACCATGCCCAACCTTTTGTCTGTTTTTAAACTGGGTTATTTCTTCTTCTATTACTGAATTATAGGACTTATTTAAAATTTTGGATGTTAACCCCTTATCAGGAATATGGGCTGCAAATGTTTTCTGCCATCAGAAAACATTTGGTTTGCCCTTTTATTCTGTTGTTTCCTTTGCTCTGCAGAATCATTTTAGTTTGATGTAGTTCCACTTGCTTAATTTTGCCTTTGTTGCCTGTGCATTTGGTGTTACATATAAGAAGTCATTGCCAAAGCAATGTTGCAAAGCTTCCCCCATATGTTTTCTCCCCCTCCCATGTTTTTTCCTAGGGAGTCTAAATTTTCTAGTGTTAACAGTTAAATCTTTAATCCCTTCTAATCAAAGTTGATCTTGTGTATGGTATAAAGTAAAGGTCCAGGTTCATTTTTGTTTGTTTTGGTTTTTTTGAGACTGGGTCTCATTACGTAGTCAGGCTGGCCTTGAACTTACAGTGATCCTCCTGCCTCAGCCTCCCAAGTGCTGGGATTACAGGCATGTGCCACCAGACCCACTAAGTTCATTCTTTTTTATGTGGATATCCACTTTTTCTAGCAACTTTGTTGGAGAGACTATCCTTTTCTCATTATGTAGTTGTATTCACTGTTCTGTTCCATAGATTAGTATGTCTGGCTTTATGCCTCTGCCATGCTGTTTGCTTGCTGTAGCTTTGTAATATGTTTTTAGGTGAAGAAATATGAGACTTCCAGCTTTATTATTTAATTTTTTGAAATTTTAATTTATCCCTCTTGGGGTTCTCTGCACTTCTTGAATCTGTGGTATGAGTTCCTTTCATTGTTGGCCATTCTTTTTTTTTTTGGTTTTTCTCCGGTACCGGGAACCACAATTGCTCTATTTTAACCCCATCTTTCCCTTCTCCTTTGTTTTTGTCTAGTCTATTTTCTGTCAGTGTGAATCTCCCTTTGCTTATTTCTTTTTGGTATGGGGATTAAACTCGAGCTGGTACACTAAACTATATCTTCAGCTTTTTTATTTTTTAAATTTTGAGACAGGGTCTTGCTCTGTTGCCCAAGTAGGGCTTGAATTTGTAGTTCTTCCTGCCTCAGCCTCCTAGAATACTGGGATTATAGACATGTACAACCGCTTCGGCTTTATTTCCATTTTCTAGTATTTCTAGAATTATGTACTGTTTCTTTGTTGCTAATTACAGATTACCTAAAGTGTAACTTTGGTGATAACACCAAGAAACTCTTCTACTTAGTGGGAATATGAATTGATACAACTATTATGGAAAACAGCATAGAGATTTCTCAAAGAACTAAAATTAGAAATTCTGTGTGATTCAGTGATTCCTAGGTATCTTCCCTAAAGAGCTATAGATACTGTACCGTGGTGATACATACATATTATAGTTCATTATAGCTGAATCGTGGAAGCATTCAATATGCCCACCAGAAGATAAATAGATAAAAAATGTGGTAGCTATTATGTAATGGAATATTACTCAGCTATAAAGAATACATTCAAGGCATTTGTAGGAAAATGGGTGCACCTGGAAAATATAATGTTGAGGTCAAATAAATAAGACACATAAGCTTAAATACTGTGTGGTAGCTCTCGTTTGAGTAAAACAGAGTACAAATAAAGGGCAGATAAGACACATAAGCTTAAATATCATGTGGTAGCTCTCGTTTGAGTGAGACAAAGTACAAATAAAGAGCATAATAAAGGATGGATCCAAGAAGACAAGGGGAAAGGGCCCGAGACAAGGGCGAGGGGGGAGGGGAAGGGGAAGTAAGAGAGTGAAGGTGGGCCATGCACAGGAAGCTGATGACATCAGTGGGTGTGAACCATGTCATACACAGGAGCTGAGGGTACAACAAGAATGAAAATGAGAGGGGCTTAGAGGCGGAGGGAGGGAAGTGGATGGGAAGAGGAGTTAAGAAAAAAAGAAACAGCTCTATTACGTACATGTACCTCTTCCCCAAGATGAACGTAAACTTTGTGTACTGTGAACATACAATAATAAAGTAAAACTAACTTAATAAACTATATACATTCTCATGATCTTTTTCTAACTTAGGGTAAAACAGGCTTGTAATGATTATTAAAATCCCAATTGATTTTGGTAGACAGTGAGTTCATTCAAAAATTGCCAGATGGCCAGATGTGGTGGCACATGCTTGTAATTCTACCATTCTGGGAGGCTGAAGCAGGGGGATTTCAAGTTTAAGCCCAGCATCTTAGTGGCTGAGCAAGACCCTGTCTCAAAAATAATTTTAAAAGAGGGCTGGAGTGTGGCTCAGTATGAAGACCATGGATTCAGTCCCCAGTACTGCCCCCCAAAAGAATCATATATACAAGCGTTAAGAGTCATGAATGGTGAAGATGGTTGTGAAGAAGAAATGTCTGGAGATTTAGCCTAAAGCTAAAATAATTAAAGCAGCATGATAAAATTGGTTCCATGGAACTGAATGTCTAGTCCAAGAGAAGACATGTAGAATCTGTTAATGACAAGGCTAGTGCTTTGTTTCTTCTTTTTGGGTACCAGGGAAAGAATCCAGGGTCTTTGCACTGTGCACTGAGCTATATCCTCAGCAACCGCCCCTCCCCTCTGCTTTTGTTTTTTGAGACAGGGTCTCACTATGTAGCCCAGGCTGGCCTTGAACTCACTATATAGCCCAGGTTGACCTCAAACTTGCAGCACTACCTCAGCCTCCTGAGTGCTGGGATTATTGGTTTGTCTCCCCGCCCCACCCCTTTGAGACTGAGTCTCATTAAAGTTAGCTGAGTTGCCCAGGCTCGGTTTCACCTTGATCATCCTGCCTCAGCTTCCCAGAGTGCTGGCATTACAGATGTGCTGCCTCTATACCCACGTCAGAGGTGGCTTTAGAATTCAGTGGGCAGAGATTAAACTGTTCATTAGATGGTGCTGAGGTATGAAAAAGATAGTATTAGATCACTGTTTTACCCTACCCATTAAATTACTGATGGATTAAAGATCGTAAAACTGATTGTAAAAGCCTTTAGAAGAATAAGAAAATATCTTTTTCATGTCAAGGATTTCTTAAAACAGGAAGAAAAATTAAACAGACACGCCATAAAAAAAGTAAAAGGCAAGCTGCTGATTTGGAGATTTTATGTTTAACATTAAGCCCAGTAGAATATAAAGAATATATAGAAACTCCTTACTGATATATCAGAAAAAGACAACACCAGTACAAAAAATGAGAAAGGAAAAAGTATGACTAAAGGTAAACATGGTTTGAAACGGTGCTATTTAGTACATGGCTGTCAGTTACATTGTTGTTTCATGTTGCAGATTTTATACCATAGTACCATGCACAGCAAGGACTGCCTAGATGCTATTTATTTATTGGTACCGGGGACCAAACTCAGGACCTGGTGCTTGCCAGGCAGGCACTGTGCCATTGAGCTATATACCCTGGCTCACGAGATGCAGTTTTAGTGAAAGCTAATTCCAAAATGCTACTATGACTTTACACATTCATCCTTCATGAACCCCGCTGAACCAGTAGTTGTTTATTTGGAGTCTGCTGGAGCTCTTTTCCAGTTCTGATTTCGCGGCTTGTTGAGCACTGATAGGTTATGGCTGCTGCTTTGGATGAAGTCACAGCTGGTCATAACAGGATGCAGGAAGGATCACAGAAAAGGCAGTGTAACAGCTCTGATCAGTTTCCAAAGTCCTGGTTCATTTTATGTACTAAAAGAGATCTTCTAAAGGGCCTGAAGATAGCGTTAACCTCGTTTCCGTTTCCTCAGTCATCCACAGGGCAGCACGCCAGCAACAGCCGAGTCCTGTGAATCCAGCCCTTCGGCCCTGTCTCTGTCAGAAGTTGGGATCACAGCACTGTGTGAGGCGAGTCCCGCCGAGCAGACTTGTACAAAAGAAAGAAATGTTGACCAAAAGAGTAAATCCCTGTAGGTATTTTACGTGGTGGGATTTATTTATTTTCAAAATTTTGATAAGGTTTTTAAAGTGTTTTCTTTTTGGTGGTAGTGATGGTGGTGTTGGGGATTAATTTTGATAAGGTTCTTAAAACTTTTTTTTTTGGTGGTGGTGCTGGGGATTAAACCCAGAACTTCATGTGTGCTAGTCTAGCACTGAACCACTGAGCTACCCCCAGCCCTCAGTAAGTTTACGTAAATGATAACATTAGATTTGTTCCTGTCTTACTAATATTTAGGAAATAGAAGGGACCATTAATATATAGACCCATTCAATAGGTCATTATTTTTGTTCTGTTTTGGTTAGTTTTCGGTGTGTTTGTATTTGAGACAGGGTCTTACTCTGCTGTTCAGGCTGGCCTTGAACTCACTATGTAAGTGATCCTCCTGTCTCAGCCTCCTAAGTGCTAAGATTACTGGTGTATGCCACCATGCCAGGCTCTATCATATTTTAGAAAGCCCTGTTTTACCTCAAGATGATAAAATAACTTGCCCGTGTTCTGTATGGTCTCATTGTAATCTTTGATTACTTGGATTTTGCTGTTAGCAAAAGGCAAGGGATGGAGCTAATTCTAGTTTTCCTGAGTTATGTATAATTTCCCCTTACCACTTAATTTTATCTATTTATATTTATTTATTTATTTTTTGTCTTTTTGAGACCAGGTCTCACTATGCAGTTCAGGCTGGCCTTGAGCTCATTTTGTAGCCCAGGCTGGCCTCAAACTCACAATGATCATCCAGCCTCAGCTTCCCAAGTGCTGGGATTATAGGTGTTTGCCACCCTACCTGGCTCTAATTTTTAAAAAATACTATATTTTATATTTTATTTTCTCACTGATTGGGAATACTACCATTAATATACTAAAATCACATGAGTTTTGGAATCATTTTCAATTTTGTTTTTTTCTTATATCTGTTTATTCATATGTAAGTACCAGCAAAGTGTTTTAATTACTTATCCTCAGTGGCATATTTTTAGCATCTGACAGAACAAGTTAGTCTCTTCTGGTTTTTTTTGCTGCCCAGATAGGTAAGGAAACTTTAAAAGTTCTTTATGATTCTGAGTGGATTATTTTATTTTTTATTTTAAAGAGAAAAAATAAAATTTCAAAAGCAAGATATAGGGAAGATAACAATAGTTAATACATTGCATATTGTTATTTCTAAATTAGTTTGAGCCATGTGTGGTGGTGCTTGCTTATAATCCCAGCGCTCAGGGGCTGGGGATTTAGCTTAGTGGCACTGCGCCTGCCTGGCAAGCGCGACGTTGTGAGTTTGATTCCTGGTACCGGAAAAAAACAAACAAACAAACAAAAAAACAACACAAAACAAAATCAGTGCTCAGGAGGCTGAGGCAGGAAGATCACCTCGAGTTCGAGGACAGCCTGAGTTGCATAGTGAGTTCAAGGCTAACCTGAGCTACAGAGCGAGACCCTGTCTCCAAAAAAAAAAATTGAGTGGGTTATTATAGAATGTTTTAGAATTTAATTTGAATATGACTGCGTACTAGTTCCAATTTAATGTTAATCTTTTAGGGAAGCTGATAAAGCAGAAAATGTTAAACTGGTGTTGAGAGGTCGACTCCAGAGACCTAAACCCAATCTGTCAAGGGCGGTTGGGAAGAAGCCAGTTCCTTCACAAGGCAAAACAGACGCAGAGAATGAGAGTTCACATTCAGAAACCTCCGCTGAAAAGGTATGGTGGAAAAAGACATTGTGGAAATTAAAATTATAAAAGTCTTCTAAGTAGTTGGGAGTAAAAATATTTAGCTTAGAGTTACAAACTGTTGTCACAGGTATTAAAACAGATGTAGGAGTTCACACAGTAACATTAGATTTGTTCCTGTTTTACTGATCTCCTGTTTATGCATTTTTTTAAAGAACTCAGACATATCACTTGAAAACCCTTAGGGATAAATCTCTTTTGTTTACTTATATAAAATATTTATTTAAAATATTTCTTATGCCAGTTATACATTAAATTATACCCACAACCATTTAATCTAAACATATACATTATTTTGATTACACTGTCAAAAAGAAAGAAGCCAAACTCTTATAGTCCCAGCACAGGAGGATCATTACAAGTTCAAGGCCAGCCTGGGATACACAGGGAGTTCAGGGTCACCCCAAGGTCCATAGTGAGAACTTGTGGTGATCCTCCTGCCTCAGCCTCTTGGCGTCACAGGTGTGCATCATCATGCCCAGCTTTATATTTATAATTAAAAAAAATTTTTTTTAGGTCAAATAACTTAAAAATGATGGTCAATTTCTTTCTCTTTTTGTGACTGTCATATTTTCTTTTTTTGAACTCAGGTGCCTTGTGCATGCTGAGCAGGTACATAGTGAGACAGGGTCTCACTGTGTATTTCAGGCTGGCCTTGAACTCATAGAAGTCCTTCTGCTATAGTCTTACACATGCTGGGATACAGGCGTGTGTCACTGTGCCTGGCTCTCATTATATTTTTTGTAACATAGCACTATAATCTTGTAGGATTTTATTCTAGAAAATTGGAAAATATAGTTTGATTTAAAAGTCAAAAATTATTTATAATTTCATTACCCAGATGTGACCAGTCTTTCCACATTTACTTTTTCAGAGTTTCTTTGTTTTTCTTCTTCTTCTTTTTTTTTTTCTTTTCGTGATGCCAGGAATCAAGCTTAGGACCTTGAACATGCTAGGCAAACTCTTTGCCACTCAGCTATCTCCCTCATACCTTCTAGATTTTCTTTCTTTTTTTCTTTTTGCAGTATGTGAGATTTAACCCTGGGGCACTGACCTATATCCCCAGCTCTTTTTGTTTTGGGACAGGTTCTTGCTAAATTGCTCAGGTTGGGCTCGAACTTGTGATCCTTCTGCCTCAGCCTCCCAAGCAGTGGGGATTATAGGTGTGTGCTGCTGTGCCCTGCTCATCCAGGCTTTTTTTTAAAACAAGTCTGTGTGGTAGTGTCAGTGAAGGTTTATAGCCTTTGATACCTGACATTTTGTAAATATTTTTCCATGTCTTTATACATCTTTTGAAAACATGATTTTTATGGATATTCTATCAGTGGGACATAACTGAATGTATTTAACTACTTCTTTATTATTGAAGAATGTGTCTCTATAGTATTTGCTATTACATAATGTTCTAGTGAACATTCTGATACCTCAGTTTTTAGCGTGGTGTTGAGTAATGTACTGTATATGGTTATCTGTTTTTAATAGTCTCATCTGCATTTAGGATTTTTAGAAAATCTCTTAGGAGTATAAAAAATTGTTTCATTAATTCTTATTTGATTATTGAAAAGTTGGAACTTTTTTGTGGTGAGATTAAATGGAAAAACTTAAATTTGCAGAATCACATGGAAAAGGATAAAATGAATACATTTGACAGTGGTGGAGTGGAAAATACAGAAAAAGAGAACCCAAAAGCTGAAACTATGTCTAAGTAAGTATTTAGGAAGTGCTGTAGTAACTTCTAAGAATGATTACAGTTATTTGTTTTGTATTTAATAACATCTCAATTTTCTTCTCAGATAATGATACCCTTGAGACTATTTTCAGCCATAAGTGGTGGTGAAACATTTTAATAGCCTCTGTATGCTTGATATTGTGGGCAAGAGTTGTGGTATGGGTACACTGCTTTAGTAATTACATTCTCCCTCCACTTTATTAACAAGACCTTTGTTAACATATATTTTTACCATTAACAAAATCTTGCTAGGCATTGTGGCACATGCCTATAATCCTAGCACTTAGGACTGCCACAAGGTGAGGCCAGTCTGAACTACAAAGTGAAGGGCCAGGGATGTAGCTCAGTGGCACATGCACCTGCCTGGCAAGCACAAGGTCCTGAGTTCAATCCTCGGTACCCCCCATAAAAAAAAAAAAAAAATCCCTTTTTGAACTACAAAGTGAGACCTTGTGTCGAAAAGATTCTTTTTTGGTGAAATCAGTGGTTAAGATATGTTTCTGGGCCCAGTGTGGTGCTGCACATTTGTAATCTCAGCACTTGGAGAAGCTAAAGCAAAAGGGTTGCAAGTTTGAGCTCAGCCTGGGCAGTTTAGCTAGTTTGAGAGGCCCTGTCTCGAAAAGTAAGGTGTGTTTCTGATAAGAAAAGTACGTGTCTGATGAGCTATGTTTATAGTAAGGGTTTTCAAAAGGGAATACTTGATATGGAGATCTAGAACAGCCTAGTCCCAGTTTGACTCTGACCAGTAGATTCCATACTGTTCCAGTGACTGCCATTTATGTTGTAATTTGGGCCTAGGCCCCTGCAGTTGCACATTCTACAGTATTATTCTGAATGGAGGCTAATGGTCTGACATCACTGGCGGATGTAGATTTTCCAGCTTTATAATGAAGTTTTGATTTGCAAATACATTTTGTAGTCAGGCTTCCAGGGCTATATCTGTTTGAAAGAGTAGGATGTAGGTATATGAAGATCTTTGACAGTGTTCCTCAAGACACTTGTATCTTATATTCAAATGGGTTATTTATTCATGTCAGGGAAAAGGAGATATAGAAAAAATATGTACATTTATGAATTGAGAATAAACATTGAATTTGTTCCTTTTGTGGTTATTCTAGTGTAAGTGGAAAAACTTGTCTCCTGGGTGATAATCAGCCGAAGGCTCCCAGACCTGCACGATTGCTGAGGGGCCGATTACAAAGACCAAAGCCAAATGTAGGGAAAGCTGCAGAGGGAAAAGGAACAGTCACATGCCAAGAAGAAGGTGGAGCCAGTGGGGAGGAGAATCCCAGTGAATCACCTGTTAACAAAGATGTGAGTATTTTGATTGTTCTTAAAATTTGTTAAACAAGTACACAAGCCTTACATAAATTTCTCATTCCTTTTAAAAACAACATGGCTGCATGATTTGTGTACTGTACATTATTTATTAAATTTATGGCTAAAATCTCATGGCTAGCAGCAGTTGCTAATTGTAAAGGCAGGTTATATTTAGAGTATTTACAGGATTGTTAAGTGCTTTTTAACCTTACCTCATATTTGGACTTGCTTTTCCCTGTCCCTCAGTGAATATTTGTTTTTTTGTTTGTTTGTTTTTTGCGACAGGGTCTCACTATGTAGTCCTGGCTGGCCTTGATCTTGCTATGTAGCTAAGGGTGGCCTCAAAATTGTGGCAATCTTCCTTCCTCAGCTTCCTGAGCGTTGGGATTACAGGCCTGCACCACCATGCCCAGCTCTTAAGTGAATATTTAAATAGTCTTTCCCTTTTGAAAAGATAGTTCAATGTGTGGCTCAACATTGGCTTAACAGAATAAAATGTTAAAAGCTTTCCACTAAAATATAATTCCACGGACAAAGATCATGAATTTTAGATGATACACATAATCTTTGTGAAAAGGGTGAGAGTCAGCATGCTTTGAGCTTGGGTTTCTTCTCGTATGAGTCCTGTGTGTGATGCAGTGGTACCAATCAGAAGGAATCCGAGAGACATCTTTTGACCGATGACACTGGGGTGCCACTAGCTCTGTGGTTGGGCCTTAAAGAGTGGGCACTTGGTAGTTGAAAGGGCACCTTCTGAAATTTTCTAAGATACTTAAATCACCCTTAACCAAAAAATAAGCCATTCATTAAAAAGCATCCTTTGAGTATCATTTTTTTTTTTGATACCGAGATTCAAACTCACAGCCTCGCCCCTGTGCTACTGAGCTATATCCCCGGCTTGAGTATCATTTTATAATTTTGAAATTTTTACTGTTTTCATTGTACTCAAGTCAAAACTTGCAGTGAAATTTAAAAAAAAATTATGTATCTCATTGTGAAACCTAAAAGATTAAAAAAATTTGTTTTAAAGATACCTCAGTGGATGGAAGATCAGTCACGTAAAACTTCAGAGTGTGAAGACCTCCTAAAACAACCTGAGACGAAACACACTTCTTTTCACAATGTGCAGCCACAGGAGCACAGGGCACTTAATGAGTGTCTAAGGTGAGAATCATTCGATTGACTGTAATTTTCGAGCTTTTATTTTCTAGACCATCAGAACTCACTTTGTCAGTGGAAGTGGTTTTGGCTCCTGCGTGGCCTTCCTCAGAATTCTCTTTGTTTGTCAGGGGCCATCAGCTTCCACACTGACATGCCACTCTTTTCTGTGTTTAGTTGCTCCAGGCATTGTTGTCATTAGTACTGAGAGAGGCAGATCCTATTATTTAGCATTACTCACCTTTGCAAAAAAGGTAAAAATGGTCAGTTTGCACAAATTAGAAGGAATTCTTTATTTTTATTAGCTCCTGTCTTTTTGAATTGTTTTATTTATTTATTTGTTTATTTTTAGTCTTTTTGAGACAGGGTCTCACTGTGCCGTTCAGGCCAGCTGTGAGTTCACTTTGTAGCCCAGGCGAGTCTCGAACTCACAACGATCTTCCTGCCTCAGCCTCCCGAGTGCTGGGATTAGGGTGTGCACCACCACGCCCGGCTTTAAACTGTTTTTAAATTTTAATTGACAATAGTGATAATTTTGGGGGATGTAGTTGTGACATTTCAGTACATGTATATAATACATTATGATCAGATCTGGGTAATTGGCAAATTTATCACTTCAGATATTTATCATTTGTTTGTGCTGGAAACATCCTTAAATTTTCTCTACTAGCTATTTTAAAATAGTTCACTAATTGTGGTCAACCGTAGTCCTGCTGTGCTATAGAACATAAATTATTTCTCCTACCTAGTTTTACCACCATATCCATTGACCATCCTTTGCCTCCTGCCGATGGACTTGCCTTCTGATTGTTTCCTTTGCTGTGACATTGTCACCAGACAGGGTTCAAGGAGGTCCCTAAAGCAGAAAATGGGGACCCTTAACTTACCCCAAACAGTTTGCTTACTCCCATTGTAGAAAAAGAATTTTTAAGACCCCTCAATAAGAGTTATGAAGAAATCTATTAGGCAGAAATTAAAGAACACAAAAAGAAAACAGAGTACGCCCCCTCGAGAGGGGCCCTGTGTACTTCCTAACAGATCTTTTTTTAAAGCTTTTGCCGTAAATGTGTATATATGTGTATGTGTGTGTATATTCATTCAGTTTGATGTGGCTGAATAAATGTAGTGTTTAATTTGATCTAGCTGTTGCCCAGTATTAATGAGCTTTTAAAACAATCACTAAGAGCTTCTTCATTTGTTTTATATCATTTTTTATCCTTTTTTGTTTGTTTGTTTGTTTTCTGCTACTAGGAATCGAACTCACGACCTTGCGCTTGCCAGGCAGGCTCTGTGCCCCTGAGCTAAGCCCCTAGCCCCTCATTTTTTATCCTTGATAATGACTAAGACAGCTGAATTCTGCTTTTCTGGAGAACAAGGTGCTTGTTCTAGATAGTGGTTGACTGCATGCCCAGTGGCATTCAGCAAAATATTGTGTATTTAATATGTCATTTTGTTGCTTTTGTTTCATGAGATTATAAGCTCTTAGAGAAGGGTTTGTATAAAAAAATCTTGTTTTAAATTGCTTTTTAAGTGTGGAGCTAGGTGTGGTAGTGTATGCCTGTAATCCCAGCCTTTGGAGGCTGAGGGGTTTGAGGCCACCCTGGGCTACAAACTAAGTTCAAGGCCAGCTTGACTACATAGTAAGATAATGTCTCAAGAGACAAAACAGCAGACAACTCCCCCTGCCAAAAAACAATGGCGTGCAGGTGTAGTTCTTAGTCCTAAGACTTCTTTTTCAGATCGTACCTCTGTGTGGCTATGTGAGTGAGATGGCCAAGCCTGTTCTGGCCAGGTGCATGTCCGGGGAAAGGCAGTAGAAGCGAAGAGGTAGAAGTGGTGGATACACTGTGATGTAGTGCTGGGGAGTGCACAGGGGGCTCCAGCCAGTGTGTGCATGGGCCGCGCTGGGTGACAGTGAGCTCGTCAGGGCCACTAGCTGCTAATTGAGTGAACTCAGTAGACATTTGTACATATATTGATACATAAGTATATTTAATTTAATATTTCACTATCATTTTAAAAGATAAGACCCCCACCGCCTAATTTTTAAATTTTACCGCTAGATTCCTTTCTGTTTTTGGAACTGGAGATTGAACCCAAGCTTTTGTGCTTTGTAAATAAGCACTCTATCATTGCACTGCATCCCCACCCATTTCATTTTATTTTACTATGCTCTTTATTTGTACTTAACTTGACTACTTTAATTTTGTTTTTTTGAGACAGAGTCTTACTATGTAGTCCAGGCTGACCTTTAACTTGCTATGCAGCCCAGGCTGACCTTAATTTGCAGCAATCCTGCCTCAGCCTTCCCAGTGCTAGGACTACAAGCATGCACCAGCACACCCAGGTTATTTTATTTTGAGACAGGGCCTGTCTTAGGTGCCTAAGTTGATCTCAAATTTGAGATCTTCCTGTCTTCTTAGCCTTCTGAGCAACTGGGATCACACGTGTGTGCCATCCAACCTGTCTTCCTTACTACATTTCTTCTTCTTCTTCTTCTTCCCCCTCCCTTACCCTCCCCTCCCCTCCCCTCCCCTCCCCTTCCCTCTCCTCTCCTCCCTCCCCGTCACCTCCCTTACTCTCCCTCCCCTCTCTTCCTCTCCTCTCCCTCCCCTCTCTTCCTCTCCTCTTCCTCTCCTCTCCCCCTCTCCTCCCCTTCCCTCTACCCTTTCTAGCACCCTCTTCCTGCTGGAGATTCAACCCAGGGCCCTATAAGCACATGCTCTACTGCTGAGCTCTTAATTTTTTTACATTTTAAACGGGTATTTTCATAGTGATCTCTTAACCACCATCTCTTTGACTGAGAGTCTGATTTAGAACTTGATTGTCTTTCTTATTTTTAATAGCATTCAAGAGGATAATCGAGCAAATGTACTCAAACAGGTCCCAGTTGTAAGAACTCGTTTTCAGAAACCAAAGCCAAATATAGTGAGAGGAATTGGAAGAAAAGATATTCCTTCAAAGGAAGAGGTACCAGAGGAGAGTCTTGTCTTTGGGGAAGGGACAGCAGGGATGAGAGAACTTGTGAGACCAGACACCTCACCAGGGGAGAGCATTCCAGTGGTCACCACTGCTACTTCTAAGGAAATGCAGTCAGATTTAAGAGAAACTGGAAAAGGAGACATCTCTCCCAGTGAGAACATACAAGAGGGGACTGATGTCACTGTGGACGTGGGGACAGGGTTGAAAGCAGCTGGGATGAAGAGTCCCCCAAGAGAGAAAACACCAGAATTGACTGATCCCACTGGGGAAATAGAGACAAATTTGGAGGAAAGCAGAAGAAAAATATTCCCACAGGAACATGACCCAGAGGAGATCAAGACTATAGGTGCAATAGAAACAAGACTGCAAAAAACTGGAAGAGAGATCGCGGCAGGGGAGAGGAGGCCAGAGATGACTGATGTTGCTGAGGAAAGACAGATGAATTTGGAAGAACCTGGAAGAAGAGAAATACCTGTGACAGGAAAGGTCCCAGAGGAGGTCAGAACTATAGGTGAAATGGAAACAGATTTGAAAGACCTTGAAGAAGTTTCCCAAGGGGAGAAGGTACTAACAGAGGTCAGTACTCTAGGGGAACGGGAGATGGATTTGAAAGAAACTGGACAAGGAGACATTTCCACGATGGAGACAACTTTAAGAAAGATGACCGTCACTGAGGAAACAGAGGCAGATATGAAAGAAACTGAAAGAGAAATTTCTTTGAGGAAGAAAGGCGCTGAGGAGATTGGTGGTGTTGAGGAAATGGTGGCAGATTTGGAAAAAACTGGAAACACGGACATTTCTCCAAGAGAAAACAAACTGGAGGAGCCTGCTACCTCAGGACAGACCGAGACAGATACGCTGCAGAAGAGGAGTGCTGACCGCAGCACTGAGCCTTCCCCGGACGTGAGAGTACGTATTTCGCTGTCCTCTAAAAGACTGTGAACTCTTTCTCAGAGAAAAGTTACCAAATAGTTCTGTAATTAACTTTTTTTATCTTTATTTATTCACATGTGTCATGCATTGATTACATTCATAGGGAATTTGTACCTGTGCATAGAGTATCTTAGTTCCTTTTTGTCCGCTCCCTTCCCCTCCCTTTAGCTCTTCTTCCTCTCCCCATTCACAACAGCTTTGTCTCCAGTTTTTCTTCCATTCTGCTTTTTTCATTTTTCCCTTCCTTACCTTCCCCTCCACCACTTGTTCCCCTTCCCATTTGAACATGTTCTGTCTACTTCCCAATATCTGACTTCCATTGTGTTCCTTTGGGCTTCTCATACAAGAGAAACAATGTGATATTTAAATTTATGTGTCTGATTTATTTCACTTAAGATTGTAGTCTCCAGGTGTATCCATTTTCCTACAGATGACTTACGTTTATCCTATTTTTATGGCAGAGTAGTGTTCCATTGCATATAAAAACCACATTTTCTGTATGCATTCGTCCATTGGTGGGCAGATAGACTGTTTCCAAGGTTTAGTTCTTACAGATTGTGCTGCTATAAACATGGGTGTGCATGTATCCTATATCAGCATGGTTTGATGCTTTTAACTCTTTCAGGAAAATACCAAGAAGGGGAATAGCTGGGTCAAATGGAACCTCTACTTTTAGTTTTTTAAGGAATCTCTGTACTGATGTCCATACTAGTTGTATCAATTTACACTCTCAACAGCAGTGGAGAAGAGTTCCTTTTTTCCCCACAGACATGCCAGCATTTGTTATTGGTTGATTTCTTAATGATCGCTGTTCTTTCTGGAGATGTTTTAATTTGCACTTGTTGAATGACCAGTGATGTTGAGCATTTCTTCATATATTTATTTGTTGTTTGTAGTTTTTCATCTGAGCAATGGCTATTCAATAATTCCATAGTTATTGCCCTTAAGTCCAATAATACTTAAATCACTAGAAGTCTTTCCATTCTTGAACATTGTTTTAGGAACTTGAAGAAACTGTAAATTGTTTTTAAAAAAGAAACTGTAAAATTTTTCTAATTGTGGAAAAGTTACTATTTTTTTTTTTCCTCCAGTCCTGGCATCTTCATATTGAGCTACATCCCCAGCTGTTTTTAAAAATGTTTTTATTTTGAAAATTTTATTTATTTTGAGGCAGGGTTTGGCCAAGTCATTAAATTGCCCAGACTGGGCTCAAACTTGCAATCCTCCTTCCATAGCCATCCAGAGTGCTAGCATTACAGGTGTGTGCTATTGTGCCTGGCTGAAAAGCTACTATTTTTTTTCCCCAAGAGGTTGGTTTTATTTCCACCATCACTTCAAATTGTGGAGGTAGTCCCTCCCAGCTACCCCAGTGGATATTTCTGGAGACTGTGCGTAGTCTTGAGGTTTCTGGCCCCTGGTCGCCGGCTTCCCAGATCATCGCTTGAGGTGCTGGAGTCCCCAGGCTGTGCTAGCTGTCTCCCTTTCTTCATTTAGAAGAGCTGGTCGGAACTCTAGGGGATGCTTTTCTTTCCCGAATACCCTTGAAGGGGTCTTTGTGCCTCCCTTGTTTTCTTGGGCATCTTGCGCTTGAATTTAGGTGGTGAAGGAGCCCTTTTCTTCTCTCTCATGAGGGTGCTGAGGCCTCCTTATTCAGTATCTGCTTTAAGTACTGCTGGTTTCCAGCACATCTTTCTCACTAAGTGCTTCTCAGTGGTCTACAGCTGCTATTTGTAATAGCAGTCTGAAGTTACTCTTTCAGATAAAAGGACTGAACTTGTACTGACCTTAGTATGAGCATAATATTGGAATCATTTCTTTTGGCAATATCTGTTTTTCTCTGTATTTCTTGCTCTGCCACAATTTCTTCACTTTTAAAAATTGCTTTTTTGCCTAGCATGGTGGCACATGCCTGTAATCTTAGCACTTGGGAGGCTGAGGCAGGAGAATCACAAGTCCATTCTGAGCCTGGGCCATGAATCAAATTTAAGGCCTGAAATCAACCAAACAAAAAACAAAACTATACAAAAAAATTGCTTCTTTTACAGTTTATTCTCTTGTAACATTTTCGTGGTCTTTTTTTCTGAGTTTTTGGGTAGGCAGTGGCACTTACGGTTTGGAAAAATCATAATACACAATATAAAAGGAAGACTTGTGAATTCTGGGTCTTAACTGTTATGTGTTAAGTTGGATTTTGTTTGTTTTGTTTTTGGAGACAGGTATTGCTATGTATTCAGGCTGGGCTTGAAAACATTCTGTATTCTAGGGTGGCTTTGAACTCAATTCTCCTCCTGCCTCAGCCTTCTGAGTGCTGGGGTTCAAGCATATATCATCATACCTGGCCCAGCTTATATTTAAAAATTAAGAAACAAACTTCTAAGTGGTTAGAGGAAGGAGCTGAGGATTTAGCTCAGCGGCACAGCGCCTGCCTGGCAAGCTCAAGGTTGTGAGTTCAATTCCCGGTACTGGAAAAAAACCAAAAAAAAAAAGTGGTTAGAGGAAAGAGTATAGAACAGTAAGCTTTCTTTGAAATGTGAGATATTGATGGACTCTCCTGTATATGCTGGTTTACTGTCACTGTTTCTGCAGCACATTGCCAGTGAAGTACAGCCAGTGGTGCACACATCTACAGAAGGAAGTATTTCTGAAAAGGAACGGTCAGATCACTTATGTTGTTTGAAGATTGTTTCACAGACTTCTGAATTTGGTAAAACAGACGACCAGGGGATACAACCTCCAGATGTTCCCGAGCACTTTTTAGATACTAATTTAAGGTACAAGTATATAGGGCTTTGTGCCTTTTTTACCCCCCCTTCTCTGAGGTACTGGGGATTGAACTCAGGACCTTCACACTAAACTACATCCCATCCCTTTTTATTTTTCATTTTGAGACTGGGGCTCACTAAGTCACTCAGTTGCTCAGGCTCCTGCCTCAACCTCCCAAAGTGCTGGGATTACAGGCATGTGCCACTATGGCTGGAGGTTCTGTGCTTTTAAAGAAAAACCATAGGAACCATATGTACTTGCTGTTTTGCCTGTTCACAGTAGCCCACTCTTGTTGTAGCGTGTATTTTTATTTTTTCCTTCTTTTTCCTCAGCCCAAACTTGTTCTGCAGAGTGTTTTCTTTCCCTACCCTTCCGGTTTTTTTCCTCCTTCCTTTAATAAGTGTGAAACTGTCACTATTCAAGGAAAAAGAAAAGAAAGTTATACTTGTGTGTCATGTTACACTGAGATTTCAAGGCATAAGAAACACAAGGTAGTGTTTGAGACTTTCAGATAGTTTTGGGAAGACAGGGATAGAGAATTGAGATTATTCTAATTGATTGTGAAAATTACTAACACATACAAAGCTGTGTAAAATGCACGCTCTTGAATCAGTATAGGCTTGACAGTCAGTGTTTGCTTTGTGCAGAGATGATGCGATTCCTGAGGCATATACCTCCACTGTAGCCTCATGCTTGTCAGGGTCTATCAAATAGTTCCATTTCTTTTCCTGTTAAGAATTAGGATTGGACAGTGGCCTTGGAAGTCAGAATGCGCTAAGGAGTGTGTAACAGCTCACCCGCCAAATCAACTAGCCCTGAAAATGGATGGCGCTGGAGCGTCGGGCCCCTACCCGGCCATTGCCAGCAGTCGGATCTGGACAGGAGCGGGGCTGGGTTTTTTTTAAAGAATAAATAAATAAAAAAGAATTAGGATTGCTGAGTATAGTGTCACATTCCTGTAATCCAGCACTTGGGAGGCTGAGGCAGGAGGGTCCCTGCATGTTTGAGGCGAGCCTGGGCTGCAAAGTGAGTTCAAGGCTAGCCTGGACTACAGGGTGAGACCCTGTCTCAGGCGGAAAAAAAAAAAAAAAAAAAAAAGGAAAAAAAATTAGGATTACATTTTTGTTGTAGTCTCTAAGATTGTCCTAAGACTCCACTTCTATTGCCCCTTCAGTTCATTCTAAAAGTTTGATAATCCTTGTTCCAAAAGCAAATCTCTTCCTCAAGAACAGAAGCCACTTGAAGTGAAACCAGCACCTTTTGTGAGAAGTCGATTCAAAAAACCAAAGCCAAACTTAGCAAGAGCAGCTTCAAAGAAAGAGACTACAGACACAGAGAAATATGTGCCTGAGAAGAAGCTGGAAACAAATCAGATGGAAACCATTGCGATTCAGGAGGACAGTGAACAAGCTAATCCTTTCCCTTCTCGACCTGTGAGTGGCTACGTGACGGTTTGGGGGCATTAGTTACTATGGTTATTAAATGCTCCCACGTGTCTTGATGTCATTTCTGTCCCTGTGGTACTGCTCTCCTGTGTGAGTGCCTCGTTGCTGCGCGTAGTCTGTGGCAGAGGCTGTGGTGTCTGATGATGGGCAGGTGTGAGGTGGGAGGCATTGAGGAAGCTGGGGCTCCACCTGTGGCTCAGCCTTTGCACCCACAGCCAAATAATGTAGTGTGTCCCTGTAGAGGACAAGTGGGAACAGCAGTCCTGTTTTATTTTACATTGCTGTGAAGATGAGAAGTTAAAAGCCTGATAGAAGTTTTTTTGTTTTTTTTTTTTTTTGGTTTTTCTCCGGTACCGGGAACTGAACTCATGACCTTGCGCTTGCCAGGCAGGCGCTTTGCCGGTGAGCTAAATCCCCAGCCCCTAAGCCTGATAGAAGTTGAATTGGGTATTTTGTTTACTTTTTGTTTTGTTTTTTGCAGCAGGGCCTCTCTGTGTAGTTCAGGCTGGTCTTGAACTCAACAGTGGTCCTCCTGCCTCAGCCTCCTGAGTGTTGGGATTATAGGTGTGTATCACCACACTCGGCTTTTATTTACATTTTTAATTTAGCCCATAATAGGTTAAGATTGTTTGAGACAGCATCAAAAATTTTGAAATGAAATATCAACACTCATAAATTGAATGTTTTACACACACAGAGTACATTTTAGAATTAAAATTCTTACCTGGTGTTATGTACATGCCTCTAATCCCAGCATTTGGGAGACTCTGATAAGAGGAACAAGAGTTTGAGGCCAGTCTGAGAAATTTAGTACAACCCCATCTCAACAAATCAAGGAAAAACAACAAAAAATTAATTAATTTGTAGCATCTTAAAATTGCATAGTTCTTAACTGTACATTAATATTTATACTTTTTATCCTTGCCTTATGTTCTATTAATTACTATGATGATAAAATTTTTAATTGGAAAAATATATGTATATACTAAAAATAAGAGCCTTATTTTCTGTGCTGGGGATTGAACATAGGGTCTTGCACATGCTAGGCAAATGCTCTGTCACTGAGCTTCGTTGCTGTGCTTTACAGTGTCCCATGTATCCTTCTACCTTGGCTTAATCATACAGCAAATGAAAACATGCACCTAAGCTTTTCTGTATAATTACTAGTTATAAAAATAATAAAATGTGCAGAAGTTTTTATTGTTTAGCAAAAATGGCACCAGACCTTGCCTTTTGATTTTTCCAGTTAACACAGTAGTCTACCTTTTTTGAATCAGTGCAGAGAAGTTTACTTTTTAATTGGCATTGCAAAGAAATGCCTGCCTGGCAAGTGCAAGGTCCTGAGTTTGATTGCCGGTACAAAAAAGAAAGAAAAGAAATTAGAAGTAGAAGTTTGTTTAATCTCCTACTGATACATTAGTCTTATTTCCGAGGTATAAAAAAGAACCTTTCCTTTGGAGGAGGAGTTTATTTAGTGGTGGTAGGAATTTTTTTTTTTCCTTTCTTATTTTGGTATCTAGGCAAACATCCTGTCAGTTAGCTACATCCTCAGCTTTGGGGATGGGCTGGGGTTGCTATAATAAGTCTCTTTGTGTATATTCTTTAGATGTTTAAGTGTTTTATTGGATGAATTTCTAGAAGTGGAATTGCTGGAATTTAAAATTTTGATAAAATACGGTTTGTTGCCATGTACAATGACTATATTGATTTATTCTAATAGTCCATGAAAATTTTAATCTGCATATAGTTTTAGCAACCTTGGATAGCATTTTTGTTTTTTCTGCTTTCTAGGATGCGACTTCCCTAATGACATCAAGAGAAAAAGATAAACCAGGTGGTGAGAAGGAGGCAGCTGTGCTGTTACAATGTATACAGACTGAGAGGGACAGCACCCCAGCATGTGCTTGTGAGCTCACAGAGGGTTCTCAGTCGGGGCAGACCCAGGAAAATGACTCAGCCGCTCCCATGGGGTAAACAGAGATATTTCCTTGAAAATCTAAAATAAGAAAGACATTTCTTTTAGATATTTACTTTTATTAAAATGCGTTAATGTATTTTTAAATGAATATCAAGAATACTTGGTTTATTTTCATTGATATGGCAGACCACCTGAAATAGAAAATCAGATGGAATTCCAAACTTTAATGCTTATTGGTAGCTATTCATTAACTGCTTAAGATTCTATACAAAGCAGTTAAAATATATATAAATTATGTATAATACATAGCAACTCTTACCTTTAAAAACATTTGTAAAATGTACATGATATAAAATTGACCATTTTAACCATTTTTACTTGTACTACTTGGTGGCGTTAAGTGTATTCATATTGTATATTCATATTGTATAGTCAGCACTGTCCATCTCCAGAACTTTTATTTTCACAAACTGAAACTCTTGTTCCCACTAAATCTTAGCTCTCATTACCCTCTTCTGGTTCCTGGTAACCACCTGGTAACTGTTTATTTATAAATTTGGCTCTACTAGGTACATTGGATAAGTTTATTATGTTTTGAGAAGTAAAGTGACGTATATTTTGTATCATATTTTTATCAGGAGAAAGTTACTTCCTTGAATGGTAAAAGAATATTTTCATAGTGAGTAGCTGTCAACATTTTACTGTCAGGCTCTGTCTTAGTTACTTTTCTCTTATTACTGAGACAGAATACCTGACACCCAAGTTAAAGGGGGAGAGGTTTATTTGCCTCACAGTTTGTAGAGGTATCAGTCAGTAATTGGCTGGCTCCAAGGCAGGTGGCTTGCCACATAGGCATTGAAGAGGAGAAACAGTTTGTGGCGGATAGAAGGTAGCACAGCAACAAAGGATGTCCGCAGCTCTTTGTATCCTTTATATCTTAAGCAGGCTACCTATGGCAAGTAGCATTCACACCCTTAATCTTAGTGCCCTTGATCCTAGCATTGCACTGTGATTCAATTCCAGTGTCATACACTCTAGATCCAGCCATCTCTGAAAAAGCCCCACCTGGACCACATGCAGCCGTGGGGAGGACGTCTAAACACAAACCGTACTAGGCTCCCTCTCTTTCTTCCTGTCTCCTTTTCTAGGATTCAAAAGATAAACACTTCCCAACAAGAAATGAAGGAAAGTATTACTCAAATGGTTCTACCAACGAGGGCCCGACTTCAGAGGCCCAGACCAAATGTAAGAAATGCTAGACATAGGCAAGTAGTAGAAAGAAGTGAAGCCAAAGGAATGATGAAAGATGAAGCAACAGTGCTACAAAAAGATGAAACTAACAAGAAATCGCTGACAGTGGTGAGTTGTTGTGTAACTAAACTGAACACTTTAATGCATAATAAAATATCAAGTGATGATTTGGACTTGATTTAGAATAATAATGTAATCTAACATTTATTCTCCTCAATGAATACATAGTGTATCCAGTTTTGTTTCAGACTTACTATTTTTTGTGGTGCTGGGGATTGAACCTACGTCTTTGTGCATGCTGGGCAAGTGCCCTACCACTGAGGTACATCTCAGCCTTGGAATTTTTTTCCTCCTCATAGTATGTAGCAAGTAGCTACGTTTATTGACGATTACAGGATGGTAACAGGAATAGGAAGAAAAAGAGAGTGAAGGGAAAAAGGAACTTGAGGGCAAAAGGAAAAAGGGACTCAAGTGTGAAGGAAAAGAAAAAGGGCCCTGGATTTTTTTAAGGGAAAAGAAACTTCCTTTTTCTCCTAGCGACATCATTCATTATGAAACATTTAATCAGTACAAAGTAGTATAGTAAATGACTCAAATCTCACCACTCGGAAGTAACCACTAAAAAACCTTTGCATCTTTTTTGTTTTGTGATGGAGGGTATTCAATGCAGGATCTTATGTTTTGTTTTTGGAGACTCTCGATATACAGTTCAGGCTGGCCTTGAACCAGCTTTGTAGCCCAGGCTGACTTTGAATCTGCAGTGATCCTTTAGCCTCAGCCTCCTGAGTGCTGAGATTACATGTGTGCACTACCACAACCAACATTTTTCTTCCTTTTTTCCTTTTTTCCTTCTTTCTTTCTTTCTTTCTTTCTTTCTTTCTTTCTTTCTTTCTT